CCAGCACTGCTCCCTGACCAGGTTCCCTGCCTGACGCCAGCAGGCATTGGTTTGGGCGTGCAGTTAGCAATCCAGGTAGAGGAAGGGTCCAGGATGTGATTTATTCTCCCCCCACCCTTCCTCCTTTGGCCTGGGGGTGGGGATGCATTGCAGGGTGGAGAGGAACTAAGAGCCCTGGTTCTGGCCTCCCTGTCAGGAGGCTCGTGCCTGGGGTCAGGACAGGTTCTTCTGCCTGGTTTCATTTATATCACATGTATTTTTTGTTTGCACCTGTTACCGTAAGTAGCTTCAGATGCCTTCTGGAAGCATGAGAGAGTATAAACAAACGGAGCCTCCAGACTCCCCACAGATACCGCCACCAGCTTCCATCTGACTCGCACGGCCGTGTAGGTTCAGAGCCTGGTTTCAGTCAAAGGCCTACCAGGGGCCAGTCTGCAACCCCAGCAGGGAGGAGGGCGGCTAGCCAGTCTGCAACCCCAGCAGGGAGGAGGGCAGCTAGCCCAGAGAACCCCAGGGAGGACAAGTCCCTCGCACCTGTGAGGAAGCAGCTGTGGCTGGAGGCTGGAGGCTGGGCCTGAGCTGAGCCCTCCTGCTTGGCCTCACGTCCTCCTCACTGAGGGACTGTGTGCTCAGGCCATTCAAGATGGCTGTCTCCTGCTCTCTGCATATCCCCTGCTCGATCAGCCCCTGCTTCCCTCACGTGACTATCCAATCCTCTTAATCATAGGGCTCAATTAGTTCCTGGTAACCGAGCCCACCTGACATCAATCTCCCCGATGTGGTGAGGACTGCTGCCATGTCCTGGTGTCCTGTCCGATGGCTGCTGCACGCCGTGGGGTTTTGCTCCAGGACCGTTTGTTAAGATCCCTCTATCCAACAAACCGTTCATGTCTCTCTTGCTGTCTCTAGGCTCTTCCTCTGGTCTCAAGGCTGGGCAACTACAAAGCTTATGGGCTCACGGGGTCCAGCCCAACAGGGACAGAGGCAGGAACTGGGGCCCAAAGCCCGCACTCCTGCCCACTAACCACTGCGTTCTGCCAGGCTTCTGGCCGCGAGAGCCGGGCAGGCGTGGACAGAGCCGAGTCTAGGGGGGCGTGACCCAGGCCTTTGCAAAGCCACGGAACATAAACACAGAAAGTGGGTCTGATTCAGCAGCATTCATTTTTATTTCTAAATAAGAATCCAGTGACATTACTGTTTTTCATCCATTTCTGAATTCCTTGAAGAGTCCAGTGAGACGAGGTAGAGGCTCCAGCAGAGCAGCTGCAGGTCCCTCCACCTCCGACCCACCTTCGCCTCTGCAACCCACAGCCCCACCAAGAAGAGCCGCATATTTCTCAGGAACCAGGACTAACGGCTGCCTCTCACATCTTACTTGGGGGAGGACAAAAGAACAAGCCTGACCTTCCCAACAGTCCTTATATCAAAAAGCTGTACTTAAAAAAAATCCTTCATTTTTAAAAAGAAAATTACTCAAAAGAATACAAGATTCTGATTAATCTTGAGAATAAATCAAGCTTTGCAGGAGCTGCACTGGAGAAAATGCTAAAGCCTTTGGTAGCCACGAACCCCGAGTCAGCCGAGCGAGCGAGGAGCCTTCCCCGGCCCATGGGCCTCCGCGGCTCCTCAGAGCAGCGCTGGGGCCTGGAGAAGTGGCTCTTCTGTGTGGCTGACCAGCTCCTTGGACAGGGGCCCATAGCACTGACAGGTGACCTTTCTCTTGACCACCGAACTGCACAATCCCCATGGATCCCATGGCCACGGGGCCCGCAGCTGCACTCCAAGGTCTCAGCTCTCTCGCCCTGAAGCCAGGATGCTCAACGCGGAGCAGCTGGGAAAAGACCAGCTCCTGGGTAGGAAAAGCCACAAATTTTTTTTCCCTCTGGGATTAGGGACTGTGTCGGCTGGGGTGAGAAAGGGTGAAACGGGGTGGGGGAAATTAGAAAGTCGTCTTTTGTAACATGGGCAATGATGGTGGAAGTCCCTGAACATCTAACTCCATTTGTGTGAGAAATGACAGGAGACTAAGTGGAAGGGAGTGTGGCTGATTATCCGAAGCCGTCACTCTGACTGTGGTGTTTTCATTTAAAACATATTGCCTGGGGCTTTGGAGACCGGGTTCCTGGTAGAACAACTTCTTAATGATTCTGGCTGCTCTACCAGGAACGTTTCAGATAATTTCCTACCCACCACCCAGCAGGAGAATCACATGCCTGCATTCTGGAGGGAATGAGGAAGGAGCAAAGGATCTTTCCTCTTTTTTTGGCATTTGAAGTCCTAACTGACAGTCAGTCATTGCTGTTGAGAGATTCCTCCTCCCATTAGAATCAGGGGTCGGTTCTGAGGCCACCCGAAGCCACGCCTACACCTTGCCGGACCTTCGATGGCCCGGACTTGGCTGAGGAGAAGCCGGTCGCCACCAGGCCCCACCCTCACTCTCCCCACTGAAGCAGAAGCGGGATTCTGGCTGTGGCCTCCCCGCTGGGGACTTTGCCACGTGTGTGGACCCCCATGGGAGTGTGGACCTGAGACCCCGGAAGGCCACCTTAGGTGAGGGCTTGAAGGAGAAGGCTCCCCACTCACCAGCCTTTCCACACTCCACTGCACACAGAGGAATCTGCAGGCAAATCAGGGCCTCCCTAGGCTGACTTGGGGCACTCAGGGGCTGCCAACATTCTGGGCCCCTGGCCTCATGTCAGCCGGGGCCCAGCAAGCATTCCCAGTGTGTGAAAAGAGGCAGCTGGCCAGGGGGACAGGGTCTGCCCCTGGGCTGAGTGAGCACCAGATGATGGAACTGAGCCACCTTCTGCCTGGCTCTGTTCCAGCTCAGCCCGAACTTGGTCTCTGGGGACCTAGGAAAAGCCAGCTTCTTTTCCTGTGAGGCCTCACACTCCAAGCCTCTGAGCATGGTTAGTCCCAGCGGTCCTACAACCACAGGGCTGCAGAACACGTGATGAATTCCAAGTCCAAAATCGTAGGGCCTGCTGTGGAGGGGCTGCTGGGGGAGCCTTGGGGTGGGGCCTTAGCGCTACAGGACGCCCCAGCTCCCCAAGACGGCGTGTCTTCAGAGTTCACTGGCTAGCCAACCAGCTTCCCCAAAGGCACGCACTGACCTTACAGCCTTCACCTCCTCCTAAAGTATTACCTTCTCTCTGTGCTATACTTCTCCTGTCCCATGGCCTAGACCTAAAAGAAAACACGTGTGAAGTTATAGTTATGCTGGATATTTTTAATCTTCTAGGCATTTATTCCCCCAACAATAGAATTATTAGGAATGCTAAAGGTAGACAGCAATTTTTGATTCTCAGGCAAAGACATCTGAAAAAAGTCCACCAGAAAAATCTCTCTCCATGGGCTTTGGCCTGTTCAAAGGTGATGGCTGAGGCACACGGGGCGCCCTCCTTGGCGGGGAAATGCCCTCCCACGCTGCTAAGCCACTACTTGGCCAGAAGAGGGCAGGAGCAGCTCACGGGACGCCCAGGCTGGCGCTGCTCCAGGCCAGGCAAGACTCTCCCCCAGCCACCTTCACACAGCCAAGCCTTGGGGACCTCGCCCCGATCCCGCGTGCTTCTCTACTTACTGTCACTCTCAGGTCTCAGCTAAAAGTGGAAGGACAGGTGGGACCTGGTGACAAAGGGCAGTCTGAACTGAGAAGATCCTGTTTTCATTATTTAATCTATGAACTCACAGCCCCCAAAATTTTTTTCCGGCAAGCTACTGAGTTTACAATGCAACTTACACCTCGGAGATCAGACTCTGAATTTCAGGGGGAAAGTCAGTTACTTACTAATTGGAGAATGAGAGAACAATCTGGCCTCTGATCCCTGCCCCCTCCCCTTATGGACAAAGGTCCTCTCCCTTTGACCTCTTCTCTCTTCCACTAAAAAGAAATAGGAAATGACGGAGACTGGAATTATGCATGGCATTAATCTTCCAGTGGGGATATTAGGTGAAGTAAAGTAATCCTATTTGGCTCAAATTATGGGGTTACAGTGGGAGATTACAAAAAGAAATCATATCTTAGCTCTATCAAGTACCAATTGACTTTTCATGCATAAAAAGGAAACCATGTGCCCTCCTGCCTGACTGGCTTTACGCTTACACTTCTGGGGCAAGGGAAGGGGTTAGGGCAGGGGTCTGGCCTCGTGGGCTGGGTACATGGGTCCTGGAGGGTCCCGAGGTCAGTCCTTCCTCACATCCAGAGCCACACTGCCTGAGGCTGAGAAGATGGAAACATATTTGCTGCCAGCCCAAGGTCCATGCTGGCCCACTGTGTCCGAAACAGAACCAACGACATGCACATGATGAATTAAACCACGCCAGGGGGTGCTGAGTCCCAAGGCTCCAGCTGAGACCCTGAGCCACATATGGAAACTGCCAGAGGCCTGTAGATGGGCACAAGCAAGCAGGTAAAGACTTGTTAAAGGGCCGGTGAAGGGGGTGGATGCGGGGAAGTCAGAAACTCCATGTCCTCTGGACATGATTGGCAGCTCCTCACCTTGAGGTGGCCCAGGGGCCCGGACCATGGGGCCGGGGCAGGGGTGTGTGTGTGTGTGTGCGCGTGCGTGGCCGGGGCAGGGGTGTGTGTGTGTGTGTGTGGTGTGTGTGTGCGCGCGTGGCTGGGGTGTGTGTGTGTGTGTGTGTGTGTGTGTGCGCGCGCGTGGCCGGGGCAGGGGTGTGTGTGGTGTGTGCGCGCGCGTGTGCAAGCGCTCTGTGAGCGAGTCCTGAGGGAGCAGTGGCTGCTCAGGGATTGCAGGTGAGACTCAGATGCATCTGGCTGCAGGCCACTGGAGCCCTGGGAAGGGGTGGCAGACGAGGAGCACGGGGACAAATGGGACCCAAGATGGTAGAGAATTGGGAGAGGAAAAAAAAAAGATGCCGATGAGCAGTGAAGGTGCAGCAGGTAAACGGTGGGCAGAGCCCAGGAAAAGGGGCCTCTGAACAAACAAGGACCACTGAGTAAGGAATCGAGGTCAGGGAAGGGACTGCTAGGCTCTCACCACTTTGTAAAAGTGCATGAATTTAAACTGAATTCAAAGACAGCAGCTGCTGGCCAGCATAAACCCTGAAGACTTTCCCTCTAGAGGGTGCTCTGACCCTACATTGAATAGGGTCACTCACCCCCAAAAAACCCAGGGATACGGCTTCCAATGGGGCTCTAGAGAGGTGCCTGTGCCCTCGTGCTCGGTTCCAGTGTAAACATTCACAGTATTCCCAGAGAAGGGCAGTAGCTGCCTGCTGCCCAGGGAGACAGCCTGTGAGGTGCCAATCAGAGGTAAAGAGAAAAAGGTCACTCAGTTTCTCTTTCTCAGGGAGTGCAAGCGACATCACGAAGGGGAGTGTGAGGTTTCCAAGGCCTCTGAGCCTGCTGCTTAAGTGAGAACCGCCGCTGCTGAGGGTCGAGGTGCCTTGATGACGCACAGGGAAGCGGCGGCTGGCCTCTCGCCCTGCTGCTACCGACACCCGTCCGGCAGGGAAGGGCCCCTGTAATGAAGGCAGTGGCCAGGGATGGCGGCAACGGCGCACCACGCTCCCGGGACGCCCTGCACAGTGGGTCCATGGCAGGATTTCTCCTCTCAGGCACCTTGGCGTGACAGATGACTATTCCCCGGCTACAGAAGCAGAAGGAAACATGTACCTGCAAAGGTGGTCCCTCCAATCCGCAGGCTGGGAAGCCACCCTGAGGGCAGAGGTCCAGCCCAGTGGGGAGCGGGGAGAGGGTGCTTCAGGGCAGCCGGCTGGCTCCAAAGGCCTGGGAGGTCCTGGGTTAAGACGACAGTAGCCTGTGCGTCACCCTGCTTCCATCCGCCCCAAAGAAGTGCCACATGCACACGCCTCGGGGGCCCTTGCTGGGTGGCCGTCCTGGGAGCCGCGGGGAGGCTGGATGGCAGTGCTGCGGCCCCGGTTGCCCGGAAGCCACGCGTCCTGGTCGGTCACAGCAGCTCCTGCTCGTCGTCCTCGGAGCCGGAGGGGCCTTGGCGCACCTCTTCGTACCACTTGTTGGTGAGGGTTTTCATCTGGATGCGCCCGTGGTGGAGGTCCTGGGGTGGGAGACACAGCAAGCCCTTGTCAGTGGTCTGGCTCAGGGTCAGGGCTGAGGAAGGGAGGAGACGGGAGGCAGGGGGCGCGGCCACAAGCAATTTCAAAGTGTTAACTGACTAACCGCAAGCTGGGATCATTCTCTGTTGGGGAGGAGATAACGGGAGGTGTCACCCTGGAACAGGAGTAGGAGGCAGGATGGCATGATGTTAAAAAACCTGGCCTCTGGAATCAGACACACTTGGGCTCTGCTTCCAGCTTTGCCAGGTACTGGCTGTGTGACCTCGGGGGGTTACTTCACCTCTCTGGGCCTCAGTCTCCCCGGCTATCAACTGAGACAACCCGCTGCATCTACTGCATGGGTTGCTGGGAGAATGAAATGAAGCAATCGTGAAAAACGTCTGGTGTAGTGCCTGGCTCACAGTAAGAACTCACGTGCTGACAGCGATCCTGACTGCTGAGGGAGGGAAAACGGGGCTCAGGACCAAAGCGGGGCAGCAGCCAGAACCCCTCCCCCACCCTGCACGGTGCAGGATGACGGTTTCAGCAAAGCAGGCCCAAGCTGGTCCCTGAGTGTGTCACTCACTGTCAGGCCAGTGGTGCCTGGAGGGATGGAGCAAGAGCCCTGAGCCTCGGGCCACTGTCCAAGGCCCTGGCAGGTCTGAAATTCCTCAGCTCAGATTCAGTAGCCCATCAATGTCCCAAGTCTATCATCCAGGAAATCCAAACTGGGTTAACAAGTCTATTATTAAACTAGCACTGGAGACTTCCCTGGTGTCACAGTGGTTAAGAATCTGCCTGTCAATGCAGGGGACACGGTTCGAGCCCTGGTCCGGGAAGATCCCACATGCTGTGGAGGAACTAAGCCCGTGAGCCACAACTACCACAACTACCGAGCCTGCACTCTAGAGCCCGCGAGCCACAACTACTGAGCCCACGTGTCACAACTACTGAAGCCCACGCACCTAGAGCCCATGCTCTGCAACAAGAAAAACCATGACAATAAGAAGCCCGCGCACCGCAACGCAGAGTAGCCCCCGCTCGCCGCAACTAGAGAAAGCCCACGCGCAGCAACGAAGACCCAGTGCAGCCAAAAATAAATGAATTAAATAAATAAACAAACCAGCATTAAATACGGCAGCGAAGGAAAAACAGCAGATGCAGAGTGCTGCAAGCATGTCCAGCCTGTGAGGCTGGGAAGGAGAGAACGCTGAGTGGGGAGAGGCCCCCACCCAGCCCGGCACGTGGGTCTTCCCTGCCCACCCTGCTCTTGGCCACTGCAGGCCCTGAGGGAGGAAGGCGAGGGACCCCTGGCCTGCGTCCCACCTCCTGGGTCAGCCGCCGCGTGAAGAAGGGGTTCAGGTACTTGGCATCCAGCCACAGGAAGCCTTTGAGGTCCTGCCGCCTGACGTAGTGGGCTTCGTACTCCTCCTCGGTGAGCTCTGACAGGTGCTCCGACTCGACGGTGTTGCCCTGCGGCGGGTGGGGGGAAGGCAGCCGAAGGCTCGTCAGCTGACACCTGCCTGGAAGCCCTCACACCACCCAGCCTACCTCCTCCGCAGCTCTTCACCCCGGCCCCCATGTCCCCAACCCTAACGGTGGCAGCAAAGAGGCCTCCTGGGAGCCTGTAGGGAGGCGGGAAGGTGTGTAAGAAAACGATGGACATCCAGGAAAATCAGAATTGTGAAGAAGTTGGAAGCTCAGGGCTGGGGCTTGGTCTACTGTAAGCTCTCCAGGTGGCTGTCTGTGCGGCCAGGACTGGGAGCTCTTCTAGGCTGTCTCTTTACCAGTGAACTGAACGAGGGAGGCGGCTTTTGTCGTTTTTTGCCTGCAGAGGCCCATTCTGGGTACATCTGCTGGTCATGTGGATGCAGCAGGGAGGGATGTGGAGAGGGAGAGAGGGAGGGAGGGAAGGACCACCCACCCTCTGCAGCGGCGGCCATAGGCAGTTTTGCAGTCGCCCCCAAGCGCAGGTGTACCCTGGGTGTAGGAGGTGGGAGAGGGAGGGGCAGGGCAGGCATTTCCCTGCCGTGGAGCAGCGCTTCTAAACTCGGGCCGGCGTCAGAATCACCTGGAGCCTGGGGAGCCACAAAATGCTGGGCCCACTAGGCCTACCTGCAGTTCCTGATTCAGCAGGCCTGGGAGGGGGCCCAAGAATGTGCATTTCTAACAAGCGCCCACCGATGCTGCTGGACCAGGAACCCCACCTTGACGACCAGTGATGGAAAGTGGGGTGGTTAAGAGTCTGTGTGACCAGGGCTGTGTGGTTTGGTCTCTGTGCCTCAGTGCTCTCATCTGCAAAATGGGGATCATGAGACCATCTGCTTCCTGCAGGTTATCAGGGACAGTCCAAGGACAGCGCAGGCACCACAGAAAACATGCCCTAAACAGCAGCTGCTCCCCCCGAGCACACATCCTGGTTCTACCAGAGCTGTGCTTGGCCAAGTGTGGCTGTACCTCCCGGCAACTCATCAGAAATGCAAATTCTTTGGGCGCCCACCCCAGACCTGTAAGACCCTGGAGCCCTCCACCAATCCTGACACCCACTAAAAGCTTCGAGAACCTATACTTGAACTTTGGTTAAAAACAGACAAGAAGGCTGGTGGATGGGGGTGGGGGGAGAAGGGCCACGGAGAGTGACGTCAGACAGTGAGCCAGCCCTGTCTGACGTCATCTGAAGGTTCTCTCAGCAGCACAACTCTGGCTGGAGAGGCCGCGGGCAGAGACTGGAGGCCAAGATCCACCCAGACTGGACTTTCCAGAGTGAGAGGTGGGCCACATCCCCCTTCCCCACCTCTGGTTGAGGATTTCTGTGCCTTCCAGGGCTGAGTAAAGTTACTGATGGCCTTGAACAAGGGAACTAGAAAAAGATGCATTTCTGCAAAAGCATGTGCGTGGAGCAGGGAGTGGTGCAGGAAGGCAGGACCAGAGGCCAGGGCCCGAGGGAACACAGGGCAGGAAAGGCACAATCACTGTGACTCAGGGGAGGAGGGTGGCTTGGAGGAGGCAGAGGTGGGCAGGGGTCCGGGGGCCTCAGGCTCGCTGCAGATGGCCTTGGGCACCTCCACCCCCAAATCATGCCCTTGCCTGTCCTCAGTGGAGGGCCGTCTCCTGTGACTCTCCAAGCCTCTGTGAGCACTTTCCCCTTATCTAGCCCCCACAGGAGGCTTTTTAGTAGATGCTAGGGAATGATACAATTTTGTCATTTTGTGATTTTGAAACCCTCCTTCCAGTCCCGGCCTGATGGGGCGGTGTGGTTACTGGCAGGGGAGGAGCATTCCTGGAAGAGTCTGGAAGGTTCACGTTCCCACGCCACTGCCTCCGTGGCTTCACGAGGCCGGCAGACAACCCACCCCAAAGAGTCATGCTTCAGACCCTGAGTCCAACCTCCTTGTCACTTTGGGAAGCTGGTGCATGCGTGTGTGCATGTGCTGCGCGCCTATGCGTGCGTGCCCAGGGACGGATCATCCTCAGATCGTGTCTCGTTCCCCCATTTTCTGGCGGCGAGTGGGGACCCACCCTCTGCCCCTGCCCGCCCGGCCAGCACTCACCATCTTCTCGGTCTTGCTGAGGTTGACGTCCTTCTTGTTCCTGCGGCGCGCCCTGGCATCCTCGATGTCCGCGAAGCGGATGAGGGGCATGGTGCTGCCGCCCAGCAGCAGAATGGTGAAGAGCACGATGCTGATGGTGGTGGTGCCGATGAGCTGCCGCTTCTCCATGGGCTCCAGGTCCAGGTGCAGGCTCAGGGCGTAGGGGATGGCCCCCCGCAGGCCTGGGCGACAGTGAAGGGAGTAAGAGGGACGGAGGCAGGCAGGAGGGGGCAGCAGTTCGCGGGGGATCTGGGCCCAGCCCGGCACCACGGCCGCTCGACATCCTAATGCACCCACTGGAGAGTGCGAACTCAGCCTGTGAGGCTCTGGGGTGTGAGAGAAGCAGGCGCAAGGAACGGAGGCTCACCTCCGCTCCCACTTCTCAAGGCGGCAGAGCGGAGCGGGTGAAGTGACCTGTCCAGGCTGTGAAGCGCCGGGCGTGTGCGTGTTGAGGATTTATCAAGCCCAGCGCTTATGTTTTAGAAACACGACAGCTGGTGCAGACAAGCCCTCCCTGTGCTACGTGCTCCGCGGACATGACCTCATCCGATTGTCACAGCTGTAGAGCTGGTCCTGTTATTCTCACAGCGCACAGATGAGGCGCCGAGACTGAGAATGAGGTGTCCTCCCAGGGACACACGCTTTACTGGCAACGTCACAGAATGCCTTTTGCCCAATGCCCACTGTAGTGGAGGATGCCACCCCCGTGGTGGCCAGCGGCTCAGGGGACTGCATCACGGCCTCTCCCTTACTTCCTGTTTTGGTTCCCTGGGAGGGTGCTGGCTGGACTGAGGGGTATGGACTGAGCCGGGAAATGGCACGTTCTCTCTAAAAAACTTCCTGGCTTGTCTGGTGCCATACGGGGGGACAGAAGCTCCCAGAGCAGCGGGGAGGAGAGATGTCAAACGAGGACTCGTGTGAGGGTGAGGGCCTGAAGGAGAAGGGAGGGCGGGCCGGGCACACAGCGACAGGATCTGACCCAGACGTGGAGGCCGGCGCATCACAGCATGATGGGGGGCTGGCTGCTGCAGCCCAGACCCTATATGGGGACACAGCAGGGCGGAGGGAAGGGGGTGGAATTAAAAGAGACACGGGGAGCAGAAGCAACAGGTCACAGGAGCAAGGGGAAGGTGGGGTGACCAGGGAAGGGAAGGGCCTGGAGGATGCCCGGGTCCTAGGAGGCTGGCTGCGCGACGGTCTGGGCACGGGGTCGGGAGTCTGGCTCCTGGGTCCACCCCCTGGCCTCCTGCTTTCCCTGGGGCCTCCCAGGCTGGCACGAGGAACGAGACACAGGGCCTGCCGTGACGGCGGCCCGAGGATGAAATGCCTTGGCATAGGACAGCATGTGCGCACAGTAAACGCTTCGTAAGAGGGAGCCACGTGTTATTGTTTCCTGTGGAAGGAAGGGGGATGCTGGCAAACAAGCAGCTGGGGCAGGAAGGTAAGTTCCGTCCTAGACAATGAGATCGCCATGGCTCCACAACATCCAAGGAGGATTCAGACACTGGAGTCTGGATCCCAGAGGGAAGGCCTGGTCAGAGGAAACAGCTTTGGGAGGGTGGGAACCAGATGGAAGTTGAGGCCACAGGACAGGTGAGCTTGTGAGAGCGCAAGAGATGAAGCAGGTCTGAGGCTGAGTCCTGAGGAAGCCAATATTTGCTGAGGTGCCAGTAAAGGCAGATGGGGACCTGGACAGGAGCCTGAGGAGATCCCAAGGGAAAGGAGGGGAACCAGAGCATGGCCTGGAGGCCAAGGGAAGAGGAGAGGGTATCCTCCCAGTCAGAGGGCAAGTCGGTGGGAGGAAGGAGCCCCAAGCCGAGGAGGCGGGTGGGATGAGGGCTAACCGGTGCCCACCAGGTCTGCCTGGGGGAGGCTGCTGGTGACCCGGGCGAGGCCAAGTCCAGCCCTGAGGACAGGAGGGGAGGAAGTGGAGAAAATGGGCAAGAAAAGCTCACTCAAGAGGTCTGGCCACGATAGGAAGAGATGGGGAAGCAGCTGGAGGGGACGAGGAGCAGGGGTTTTGGCTGAAGTCGTTGGTTTTTTGCGGGGAAAAGGAGAATCTTCAACTGTTGAATGATGGCGGAGCCAGTGGGACAGGGTGAGGATCCAGGAAGGAGGGAGGGAATCAATGGAGAGAGGCCTGGACAGCCTGAGGACACCCGGAACCAAGAGCCCTCCCTGTTTAAAACCACCGCCCACTTCCCTGTAGAGGTCTCTCACCACACCCCGCAACCCCAAAGAGCTCACATACTTTGTAAAATGCCTGATACATTTCTTAGATTTTCTTTCAGATTTTCAAGACCTTGGATCAACTACTTTACGATTTTTTTCCCTCACTGGCAAAAAAGATTAAGAAAAAAGTTTCTCTCACTGTACACACATATATACACACCTACCTACCTAGATCTGTCACACACACACCTATGAATATATTTTAAACAAGGTCTTTTGAAAAGGAAATCTGCGAGAAATTTACAGATATGCTGTTGGACAGAAAACAGCTTACAAAGCACGTTGCTATACCCTGACCCACACAGAAATATTTTAATTATAATATTTAAACAAGAAAGCACAAAGAACTGGATGTATTTGCTCCTAAGTAAATTTAAAGATGTCTACGGATCCGGTTCTTTAGGAGTCAAAGATTTATGAAATCATTTCGATCCTTTAAAAAGTAGAGGAAGGAATATGGGATTGAACAGCAACTGAAATGGTCAAATAAACTATCAGAGCTTAGTAACTGAATAAAAAAAATCCAAATCTAACCTATAGTACAAAAAAGTTTAAACTTTAACCTTTTTATTCTGAGCCCCTTGTTACTTCAGCCTAGAAAGCGCTCAGGTGGGAGGGGCGCCGTGCACACCTTGCCCTGGGCTACCCCGTCTGTCCAGCAAAGAGTGGAGGGAAGGAGGGCAATCCTGGCTCTGCCTCGTGGGGCCCCTCGTCCCGAGCAAGTCCTTTACCCTTGAGCCTGAGCTTCCTCATCTGTAGAGCAGACACGCACCACCCACTTCCTGCGCTGTGGGGAGGGGTACCGCCTGTGAAGGGCCTCGCTCAGGGCCTGTGTTATAGCAGGCGCCCTTAAACGGGAGCACATGCAACTTGGGGCTGATGAGGCATGCTCGTTTCGCAAGGGCTCCGGGGACAGGCACAGACACGCAGGGCCTGTGCCTTTATAACACACATTTTCCCTCCACCGTTCGTTCAAGATTGGGCTTACCGCTGAACCACATGATGAACATCATCTTTGGTGTGATTTTATGATCACGGAAGAAATTCAGGAGGTAGGAGAGAGGGAAAATGTTCACCGCTCTGCCAAACAGCACAAGCACCTGTTAACAGCAACAAACTAAGTCTTAACATGGAAACCTCTGGTTCTTCAAGTTGAAGCTTGTTGAGGCTAACACAGACCTGGTAACACACCCATTATAAAGGCAGCATCCCCTTGTCATCAAAGACATGAACTCAGTGCTAGGCAGAGACCCAGGAGATGCCAGTTTCTATGTGTCTAGGAAAGGATTAAAGCTTTGTATGTTACATTTCCATTGTCAGAAAGAGAGGACTAACAAGGTATCAATGACAGCTTCAGTAATGCCAAGAGGCCGTGCAGAAGTACCCAGAGATTAATTTAAGGGTAATCTGGCTCCTCCAAATGTGCTCCGCTGTGGGACGGGCCTGCACTAATCATTCCCAATGGGCTAGCTCTGGGGGAACAGACAAGGTATTCCTGCCTCTCCCATGGGGGCCCCACTCCTCAGGGAAAGGAGCGAAGACTGAAAAGCGCCTACCTATGTCCGTAAATGCTGCTCCCTGCGCAAGAGGAATGCACAGGTGGGTTCTAACAGGAGGTCACACACACCCTGTCTAGCCAGTTGCTTGCCATGGCTTTTGGTTCCTAGCCATCTCCAAAGGCATGTCGATTTTAACAAAATATAGCTTTATGTAAAGTCTAAATCTTATCTAAGTGGCTTCTTAGAACTCCTTATTAATTTACTTCGTTTCTTCATCTTGGTTCTCACCATAACTAACTTGAACAGAATTATATATATATATATATATATATATATATATATATATATACACATTCTAAGGCTCTAAGTTTATTCTTACAACCAGCATGAATTGAGTGTGCTTTGGACTGTTGTGCCTTGGAAGGTCAAGTTAATAATTACCCACAATCATCTAACATTTATATGCCAGACAATGCTCTAATGATTTTATATGCATTATCTTGTTCAATTTACATCCTTCCAAAGGTCTCATGAGGTAGGTATTACTGTCTCTATTTTAGAGACAAGTAAACTGAGACAGCGAGAGGTTAAGTATTAAGTAACTGGTCCAAGCTGACGCAGGCAGGAAGTGGTGGAGCCAAGTCCCAAACCTGGCTCGGTCCCCAGAGCCCATGCCCTTGACCACTGAGTGAGTCTAAGGTAATCCATCTGAGCGGCACAGGCCGTCTCTAGGAGTGCCAGGGCCAGACTGACCAGTTGCTCAGGGGAAACTGAGTCACCACCCCAGGCATCGCCTCATTTTTCTTTCCCTCCCAGCTCATGGCTGAGATCGCCACCTCCCTGTTTCACCCACTGAAATCTAATCCTCCGTTCCCACATGTGTGTTTCAGGGTTGACCAAATGTGGCCCCTTTCACCCAGTGACCACATTAAAGGCTACTATACTTTCTATAAAAGACTTTTGCTGCTGTTTTCTTGTCTTAAAACCTGAGTTTGGAGGACAAAGAACAGTGACAAAAGCAATGAGCTTGTGCCAACTAAGGTAGAAGCACCCAGACTGCAAGGAGAAACATCTTTTTCTTTAGGGTTCCTTATCTTCTCTGCCTCAGGTTCCCCATATGCCAAATAGGTAGGCCTCACTGGTTTGCACGTGGTAGGTGACAGTGATTTAAAAGAAAAAGCCTGCCTCTCAATAGCTGTGTTTTGTTAAGTGGAGCTGGTAATAAGAGTTAAGATGAATTATGGTAACTCAACAAGCTGTGCTTTGCAAGTGCCTTAAATTAACAGAGGATCTAAAAAGACAACAAACAGATCAAATTAGGGACAGGAGTATAAATCAGCAGGAGGACCTATGGGAGATGAGTTCACACTGACGGGACAGAGACACAGGAGGGACACAGACGAGGGACCTGGGAACACCAGGCTAATGCCCAAATGTTAGCCATTCCCATCACTTTGATCAGATGCCTGAGGGAGCTGGACCTTTCTTTTAAATGCTTAAACATTTATTTTTCTCCCATTCCATTCCCAAGATCTGATTTGAATGCAAATGATTAAACTTCTATTTTTCTTTTTTAAAGGTACATTTTAACTTGTTTCCTACTGCCACCACCCGTCTCTCATCCAATTACAACAGTTTCCCAAATCTTCTCAATGATAAGAACCACCTGGGATGATGATTCCTCCAGATGAATCTCCAAAGGAGGTAAGGGCCTCGTAATCTTTACCTTGAACAAGTGTCCAAGGTCATGCTTATAAATGGACACATTTGAAGGAAACCACAGCAAGAATTAGGTATATTCATTATAATCATCCAGAAAAAGTAGAAAAGAGAAAGAAATCTTCCCCCGTTCTACAACCACTGTGAACATTCGGCTGCATTTTCTTACATATTTTCTTTTTTCTATGCATGCCGTTTTTACATGGTTATGATCAATTACACATTTCAATTCTGAAATCTGCTTTTACTACCTAACGTTACAAACTGGTAAATTTTTTTTTTTTTATGGCTGCGCCTTGCAGCCTGCAGGATCTTAGTTCCCTGCTGACCAGGGATCAAACCTGGGCTCCCTGCAGTGGAAGCTCGGAAGTCTTAACCACTGGACTGCCAGGGAAGTCCTGAAAAAAATGGTAATTTTTAAAGAAGACTATAACAGTTCAAGGCCACTTAAAATTAAAACCAAGCAAGAATTCTCTTCTAGGGATATTTATTTACTTAATTCCATCCCTTCCCATTTATTGTATGTTCATGAATTTTTAACAAAAAGAAACTTCAAACAGAAGGTTGTCTATGTAGCTGTTGACTTTGACCAGTTAACAGTTACATAAATGAATCCAGAATATGTGGTTATCGATCTACAAATAAGTAGTTAAATAAAAAACAAGGAAAATACTTACTATGCACCAGATGACAAAGGAAATTTCAAACTTGTGAGGGAAACTAAAAATGGACAGGCCAAGAAATGCAAACACACATGTTTCTGAAACAAACCAAAGAATGGATTATTCAGCCTCAACTATTTTCTTCCAGTACAGCATGGGATTGTTATGCAAGCAAACATTCAGAAGTTAATCAGAATCCAGTATACCACTTTGCTTATTTTCTGGAAAATCCTGCAACCAGTACCTTGGCAAACTTGTCCTTTGATTCTCTCATTCTTTTCTATCACATAAGCAACAAGTGCTTGCTATTCAGAATCTCCTAATTTAATAAGCCAGCTGTCAAATACCCATGCAAATAAATACTCTCCCACCTGGGGACGGTGATAAATATATGAATCTGTCCATTTGCTGAACACTGTGATCAGCAAGGATCCCAACTGCGGCAAAGTGGCAAAAATTCAGAGCAAATGACTGCAGACGCCATGTGACTAGTGTGAAAGGGCCCTTTGTTAACTTCCTTGCCAGAGTGGACAAAGCCAAATGACTGACTTCACATATTTAATGTTGCCACAAAGTTTAGAAGAAGGCTTACATCCTGCAGGATTTGCAGGAAGAAATACATTTCAACTCTTGGCTCCACTCCACAAGTCAAAGAGAGTCTGACATTTACTCTTGCTGTACAAGCAGTCACTTGTGTATCCTAAGAAAAAGCACCTTAGAAATTCCTAGCACCAGGCTCCCTGCTTAGACTGTAACATCCTCCAGAATAAATGTAGAGCCAGGGAGACAAAGACACTATTTTAAAAGTTGAGCGTCATAAAACATCAAGGCTGTTTTGAAACATTTCAGCAATGTTTTTTTTCTTCAAATGTGTATCCTCTTAGAACAAGTCCACAAGCTGGACAGTATACTTACCGTTCTCCTCCTTGAATGTTTTTATCAAATATTTTTGTCATCTTTTGCAATCAGCTTATTTAGAACACATCCAGATCTATGTAATGCTTTTCCCTGGCAGCACGAATACTATTACGTGGACACGTCATGGTTAATTTAATGAATCCTTGATGGATATTTAGACTGTTTCTATTTCTGATATTGAAAAAGCAACAACAAACATCCCTGTGCACAGACTAAATCCCTGATGGTAGAATCGCTGGGTCAAAGAGTATATGCCTTTTAAATTCAGACTGATGCTGCAAATGACTCTCCAAAAAAGATGGCATCAATGTATATGCCCGTCAACAGGGCCTATTTTCTATACGGTTGTGCCGGAAGTGGGGAATCACCAAACTGAAAATCTGATGGGTACAAAATAGAATTTGATGGATGTTTTGCTTTACATTTCCTTACGGTGAGAGAGTCTTTCGCCATGACTTTCTGAGAAGGGTGCTGTGGAAACAATACCCACTGGGCCAGGAAGAGACAGACTGCTTCCAGACTCACTTCTTAGCCATGAGACAGTGCTCAGATCATGTGACCTGAGACTCCCTGTTTGTGGAATGAAGTCTCTGCACAGCTTGCCCCCGACTCCCAGCACGTGACAGTGTGGAACTGGTGCTTCGAAATGAGACACCCCACAGAAATGCCAGGGGAGGTGCTGATGGTGACAGGCAGAGCACAGCCACTTGGGGGCCGGTGTAAAGGGACAGTGTGAGAGTGGTTCCTTCACTCCCAGGTGTAAACTAGGGGCAGGTACATGATGGGTTCATCAGACTGTGATGCATAACTGAAACTGCTTAAGAGAAACAGTCATCACGGTGTGGCCCAGGCCAACGATGACACCTCTAATTCAGGGTTTGCCTGAGACACATCCTTCAAGATGCTCTTGTGAACAAAGGATCCTGTGGACAAGTTTGGGAAATGCTGTCACTCTGTCTCTCTCTTAGAAATTCACAATGCACGTTGGCGGAAAAGTCTCACAAGTTCAGAAACTTGTTCAACTTTATTTACCCCAGGATTTCCCAAACTGTTTTTTGACTATGGAGTCTTTTTTCACTTAATTCTCATCAATATCAGTTCCAAGGAACGCATTTTTTAGAAACGTCACTTTCATATATTGCAAATACATGAGTCTCAAATGTTCGTTATTCGCAGTTCTCATTATTTTTTGGTCTTAAAATTACAGGCATCGAAAGTTCCATTTGTTAGGTATTAGGCTTACTTTATGAAATGTGAAAGCCAGAGTAACAAACAAAAGATAAGGGAGTGCAGTATCTGGCTCTGAGGAATTCTGCTGCCTCTTCTGTCAGGGAAAATCTCAACGGACTCCTGAAACAGGCTGAGGAAGAACAAGTAGCTCTGGGTAGGCCCACGTAGGACCACACAGAGGCAGAACTCACCGCACAAGAAGGCCACAGTCCGGAGGGTTTGCTGCATGAGGATCTGGGTGACTGGAGACAGGTTATGGTGTGTGTAGTGAGACATCACGATGCCTGAGAACAGGATGGCCATAATGCCTAGAGAGGGACAAAGGGGCAAAGTGCACAGACATGAACAGAACAGAAAAGCACCTTCCATGTGATAGGCAATAATGCCTCACACTTCCTACAAGTCCCTGGAGCCTATAGTATTAGGTGTTTTAAGAAAAAGGATGGGAAAATAATACCTGAGGCTTCCCAGAGGCTGCAGAGAACTGCTAAGGGCCCATCTCTCTGGCAGCTTCATTACCGGCTGGGTGACCTTGGGCCAAGTTTCTTCCCCTCACCAAGCCTCAGTTTTCTCAACTGTACAGTGGGACTAATAGTACCCACGCTCATGGACATGTTAGGAGGGTAATGCAGAGAAGCCATGTAAAGTGCCCTTCACAAGACCAGGGCAGAACAGGTGTGAGCCGTCACTGTCATTCATGGATATAATAGGGGCAGGTGAACCACTCCTGGGGCAGAAAGGGAACATAAGAATCTGGGTATGGAGAATGGGTGGATTTTTATTTACTTTGTCATACTTTAATTTTGAATTTTCCTATAATCGCTTTCCTATAATCGCTTTCCTATAATCGCTTTCCTATAATATGATTATAATCCTATAATCATATTATAATTAACCTTATAATATGAAAAGAGAGATGTGTTATTTAAAAAAAAGTGATGTCTTTTCTTTAAAGGTCACCATGAGAGAGTCTACAACTTTTGTTGTGTACTCAGGATTTGAGTTTCAACTTTTGTCCACTGCCCCTAATCACTGCTGAAGCCACTTCCATGGGTTTCCTCTCAGTGTCTCCCTGGCAAGGCAGCAGCAAAGAGTTCTTTATTTCATGTAAGGAAGCTGAGATTTTTACAAAGCCATTAAACAAGCTGCCAAGATACATGAATTCCAAGTCAACCTTTATAAGCAAATATTTAACTCACTTATGCCATTTTATAGAAACAGATTACTGGCTAACTTTCCATTTAAAAATGAGTGAAGCATAGGAGAATGTCCTACTTGGGAGGGCAGGAAGCAAAGGAACCGGACAGGAAGTGCGCTTGGGGGACAGAAGTTTAGCTTTGATACCTGAAGGCTGGGTCTCTTCAAAGAAGTCTCAAAAAGGGGCCCTGCTTCCAATTTCCCTCTTCCATTCCCAGAGCTAGTACAAGGCTTGGAAGAATGCCCTTGGTCTGTTGGTCCAGTGTTACCTGTCATCCATTTAAGTGTTCCCACTTTCAAGTGACAATCCTCTCCTTGGTCCTGCCATGGGCAGAGCATGTCTGGCATACTAGCCTGACTTTTACACCCTAATCTTGAGTTGAGGAAATATGCACAGGAGTCAAAGAGATGTCTTTATATCTGACTGTACATAAATGAAGTTTTGTTTTTTCTTTTTGGTGCAATAAAGTTTGTTTTGGCAGAAAACAAAATGATTGAAAAACACAGAATTGCGTTGGAGACATTTCAACTGCCAAGCTTGCTGCATAAACAAGACCTTACAAAACAGAGGAAAACCCCGCTCTTTGCTGGCCAGAGAGATAGCAGTAGCTGGAACGTGTTATCTCCTAGCCCTCTTGGGAAACAGCAAATTCCTTTGCTCTTTCATTTTTCCCAAAAAGGAGGCCAGACAGGGAAATTCCAGCAATGCTGCCCAAGAGCCACACCTGATGAGCCTGGAGAAGGGAAAGGAGAGGGCAGGAGACTTCTTTACTTGCTACTTCAGAGCAGTGAGAAGACTCTGGAAGTTAGAGTCGTTCTGAGCCTCTGCTCCGCTAGATAAAACACACAATAACAACACCTCCGGCTGTCCCCTCAATTCATCTGCTCTTCTCAGTAAGTTCCTGCAGGCAACCACCCGAGAGCTTCTCCTTCCTGACTCTGCATCTAGACCACAGACGCCACAGGCAATGTGAGGTGAAACAGAGGGAAAGACCAGAACCGTCGAGGTTGGGGGAGGAGCACGCGGCACAGCACACTTCAGTTCCTATGGACTTGCTCCTAAGCCTCTCTCTTCCTTCCGTGCAGTCCAATGCTAGAGACGGCTCTGGCTTCTGGGCTCTCAAAGGGCTTTGTTTCGCCAGCCTGCTTCAAGAAGGGTTATCAATTCACTGCAAAGCTGAGGCTTTGGAGTTCTTACCCTGAAGGGAAAGTCAACCCCGGAGGAGCCTGAACCACTTAAGCTGTGAATCACAACCGCTTAAGTTGTGACACGAGTGGCCTTCCGCCCACGTCGTCATTCTGCCTACAGAACGAGGTCATCATAGCCCACGGGAGTCCCGGTATTAAACAGCCACTGCAGAAAGCCAAAGGTTCTGGAAAGTCAGCTCTGACAGTGAAACGCGGAACTTCCCGTGGGACTAGCATCAGGAGAGGCCACTGCCAGAGGCCCAGCAAGCTTTCCTCCACAGGAAACAAGGAGACAGGCTCAACGCAGCAGGCGTCTGGCTGGCCGCTTTAGTCTGGTGCACTGTAGGCTAGGGGTTGGAAACCCAAACTCCTCAGGGGCCAGACAATAAAAATAAAGATAAAAACAATAAGCGGGTGACTGGCACATGGGCAGAGAAGGCACAAGCCCATCTATAAAGGGCTGATGGCAGCCCTGTGGATGGAGGCCTAGTGCTGGCCAGTCTTCCTTCCGGTTTTTGAGAAACTCCAGAAATCTGTTTCTTATGGGAAATCTTCCAACTTTTTTTTTTTTTTTGGCCGCGCCGCACAGCTCGCTGGATCTTAGTTCGCTGACCAGGGACTGAACCCCGGGCCCCCGGCGGTGAAAGCAGCGAGCCCTAACCACTGAACCGCCAGGGAATTCCCAGAAATCTTCTGACTTTTAACGACAGCAACTAATTGAAGTGTTTAAACATTTTCTGTAGAGGTAAACAAATCCCATTTGGGGGCTGAATTTGGACCATACAGAAATGGGCCCTCTGGACTACAAGAGTGACCAGCCAGCCACGACCTTCATGCCAGTCCAGTCTGGGGTCGGGGGAACTCTCAAATCCCGGGGGCTAAAGGAAAGAGTCAGGGTCAGCAGTGGGTACAAAAGCTGCAGGGACAGCTCAAGTGTCTGCCCTACGTGCCCTCCCTAAGCCCAGGTGACTTTACCACTTAGACAGCTGCCCCCAGCATAGGCTGCAAAGACACTGAAGGGGAAAACGGTCCAGCAGGCTCACTCCTGGAGATAAAAGGCCTGGGGATTTAAAACATGCCCTGGAATGAAGAATCCTGACACATTTACTTCTTTCAGAAGGCAAGTTCATTTAAGGAAGCAGACAGCAGTGCAGCAAGCGGTCAGCCTCTGAAGGCAGGCAGGAAAAGAAGAGAGGGAGGGAGGAGGGAGGAAATCCACTTCTAGTCTCAGTTAAATCCATTGTTTCAAATGTAATTAAGGAATAAAGGGATTCAAATCCAAAAGGCAGGAGTTGAAAGTGTATTGTGTACAATTTCTATTGCACTGAACTTTACTGCGGGTAAAACATGATGTACTTCTTGAAGGCTGAGTCAGGCCATAGTCAGTTTTGTTTGTTAATTACCCAATAAGGAACATATTTTGCTATAAAAAATCTGAACTCAGAGGTAAAGAGTAAAACAAGACTCTCCATTCACACCGCCTGCCCAGAGGTAACTACCATACAGTTCAACATGCAGATTGCCAGCTCTTTTACTATGCCATTATAAAGTTTATCTGTCTTTAAAAAAAGTAATAAACAGGGTCTTCCCTGGTGGCGCAGTGCAGGGGACACAGGTTCGGGCCCTGGTCCGGGATGCCTCAGAGCGACTGGGCCCATGCGCCACAACTACGGAGCCTGTGATCTAGAGCCCGTGAGCCACAACTGCTGAGGCCCGCGCACCTAGAGCCCAAGCTCCGCAGCAAGGGAGGCCACCGCAATGAGGGGCCCGCACACTGCAGCGAAGGGTAGCTCCCGCTTGCCGCAAGTAGAGAAAGCCGCGCGCAGCAGCGAAGACCCAATGAAGCCAAAAAAAGAAATAATAAATATATTTTTAAAAAGTAATAAACAGTATCATATTACAGATATGACACGTATTACTGGCACAGTGATTTTTAAAAAGTCCTCCAACACTTGGCTTTGCGTGTGTAACAGAATGCCAACTCCTTCCCAGGCCTACAGAACCCTGCGGGATGGGGTCCTTGCCCTTCTGTTTCAGCCATGCTATCTTCCTGCTCTTCCTGGAGCAAGCCAAGCTCCCTCAGATCTATCTGGGACTCTCGGCACCTGCTGCTCACGCTGCCAATCACTCCCTCCCCAGAGCCTCCGACGCTGGCTCCTTTTCACCACACAGGTCTTAGCCCCAGTGCCACCCCTCTGAGGACACCTTCCTGACCCCCTACCTCATAACGTTCCTGCCCCCGTGACACTCCATCACATTACTCTGATTTTTTTTTTTCACATCACTTCTTCCTACCTGAAATTACCCTATGTGTTTGCTTACTTGCTTATTATCTTCCTTCTCCAGGCAGAAACCTGATCTTGTCTTGTTTATTACTGTACCTCTGAAACCAAGGAGCGTTCTCCGCACAGGGTAGGCATTAAATAAATATTTACTGAATGGATGAGTGAAAGGTTTTTCTTTTTCTTTTTTAAATTTAATTAATTAATTAATTTTTGGCTGCGTTGGGTCTTCGTTGCTGCGCGCGGGCTTCCTCTAGTTGCGGCGAGCAGGGGCTACTCTTCATTGCGGTGCACAGGTTTCTCATTGCGGTGGCTTCTCTTGTTGCGAAGCACGGGCTCTAGGCGCGTGGGCTTCAGTAGTTGCGGCACATGGGCTCAGTAGTTGTGGCTCACGGGCTCTAGAGCACAGGCTTAGTAGTTGTGGCGCACGGGCTTAGTTGCTCCGTGGCATGTGGGATCTTCCCGAATCAGGGATCGAACCCGTGTCCCCTGCATTGGCAGGCAGATTCTCAACCACTGCACCACCAGGGAAGCCCCAGAGTGGCACTTTTATTATGTCTACTTCATGTGAGGAAGTAGAAGCTCAGAGTGGTTAAGTCTGCTCTCTGCAGTTACACAGCTAATGAGAGGTGGAGGTGGGATTCAAACCGAGTCTGTCCGGTGCCCTTAACCGCTGTGTTCTAGACACACAGATTTAGGTAAATGATTCTTAGGGAGAACGTCCTGTTTGGTGGCCGTGGTAACCACTTCGTCCTTTGTGACAGTCAGGAAAAGCAGAGCACAAAGAGGAAGGAGGGGACCGCACCAAAGCCACCTTTCCTGTTTGTACCCTTACATTAACAGGGTGAGCCTCCCCTTCTCTGAAAACCCTGCGTGACAAACATCCCACCGGCAGAGTGTGGGCAGAGCCAGCCCGTCACCCAGAGGCGGACAAGTGTGTTCTTGGCTTGCATGTGCTCTTTTCGGCCCCATCAGCGTGCACGGCAGAGGTCCCCAAGGAAACGAAACCCCTACAAATAGAAAACACTGCCTCTCTGAAGAAAAGACAAGAAAAACACTCCCTGGTCTTAATCACAAATTTCAAATGGATGCAAGAAATATATCTTTGCCAACAGGTACTCAGTGTTCATCTCAAAGGGGTGGGGAATGATCTAGAAAAACAGAGGTAAAAATAGCTAGGCTAGAGCCAAATGACTCACAGGTGGTGTTTATGTAAGTGCCAAAATTCAGGAAAGGTAAGAGAGGGAACAGGATGGCAGATACCGGGATGAAGTTATCCAAGAGAACTGGCTTGGGATTAAAAACAAACGAGACCCTGAGGGTTACAAAGTTCTCCAGGGAAAATGGCCAGAGTCCTCTCTGCCTCCTCCTTGGCAACACCTGCTCACAGAGGACCCATGTGTGATGCCAGACAGTGACCTGAGGGAAGGAGAATTCTGCTCAGCAGCAGAGGAGGAACAGAAAAAAACATTTCAAGAAACTGATAAAAACGTACTACATTGGATAAAAGCCATAAACTTACACAAACTACGAACCCATGAAGTTCAACAAATCCCGAGAGGAAGATAAAGAGAAGCACACCAAGGCACATCAAAACCAAACTGCCACATACCCGTCAGAATGGCTAGTGTTTAAAATTAAAATAAGTGTTGACGAGGATGTGAAGCAGCTGACACTCTCTCATACATTCTGGTGGGGATGCAAATGGCCCAGTCACTCTGTAAAACACTGGGCAGTTTCTGATAAAGCAAAACATACACCTACCATAAGACCCGGCAACCTTACTTACTCCTCGGTATTTATCCAAGATAAATGAAGATATGCACATTAATAGCCAAAATCTGGAAAAGTCCAAATGTCCTTCAAAGGGTGAATGGAAAAACCGGCTCAATAAGAATGTAAAACTACTGATACAGCAAAAACGTGGTGTCTCTCAAGAACATTATGAAAACTGAAAGAAACAAGTCACAAAAGACTAAAAACTACATGATTCCCTTTATATGACATTTATATTCTGGAAAAGGCAAAACTATAGTGGAAGAATGCAGGTCAGTGGGTGCCAGGGCCCAGGGACGGGCTAAGGGATTGACTGCCCTTGGCAGTCTGAAGGCCCTTCAGAGGGCTTGTTTTGAGAGAGAGGCAACATTGGAAGAGATGTTTTGATCTCTGCTACAGGATGGCGGGTAAAGAGAAAAGGTGACCCTGACAACATTGAGTTCCTGGATCCAGCCAGGTCTAAATCCAGATGTATCCCTAGAGAGCCAGTTAGTCCCCTTTACTGCTTAAGCTCTTCTGAGTCGTGACTCTCTTATGATTGAAAGTGACCCAATCGACATAACCTTTCACCAGGCAGGACCACGAACCATCAACCCCAGCATTTCAACACTCTCCGTCACTTACCTGAGAGTGAGATTCCTTCTGCGAGCCCATATGGAAGATAAGCAAAAATGATCATCATGCCAAACTCCAAGGAAGGCGTTTTCCTCAAGTCAATATGCTTTAGCACGTAAATGACAATTGTCAAGGAAAAAGAATCAAAGGACACTTACGGGAGGTCTAGAGAAGTCACAAAACTGCTGCCTTCCAAATAGAGAAGGTAAACAATGGATACAAAGATTTGGGAACATCTCAAGGTAACAGGTGAAAATTTGTCATTATGGATTTTTTTCTTTGCAGGGAGACTCTTGTTTTAAGGAAGGGCATCTGACAAAATACTAAGAGATGTAAATTCCTGAGACAAACGGTAGGGGAAAACTAAAGTCACCCTAAGTCATTTCATTTGGAAATGCTGACTTGGAGGGCTGGGAGTCACCGGGGGATGGGTGGGGGGCGGGCTGTGGGGAGCTGGGGCTGCAGACAGACTGAGGACACCCCATACTGCCAGGCCCCTTCCAGGGCCGTGTCCCTCTTCCACTCCACTGACCACATCAGCTGAGGTCACTAATGGGGTTTCCAGAATCCTGGGGATCGATGCCCCATTGAAGGACCTTCTCTCCTGTTCCTGGACATTTATAAACTCATGTTCCTGTGAAAGGAGAATCTTCCACGTATTCAAATGTTGTTCACATGCCTGTGCTGGAGCCCACAGCACCCATTTACTGGGGCTTCATTAAAGAAGATGCTCTCCCCGCCCGCCCCTCCGCTCTTTTAAATAAAGAGATAAATACAGAGGAAAATACTGAACTAGAAAAAGTTTTCTTTTCCATTCTGTTTATTGATACAATATAAGAAGCTGTCAGCTGACTCAACAGCACCTTGAGACTTCTGGACATAGGAACTGAAGGGAAAATTCAACAGGATGGCAGACAAACACGCCTGTCTCAGGCAGAAGAGGCTTTCCTGGCCGGCCATCTGTGAAACAAACTGCTGGCGGAGGAGGGCCAGGTGGCCATCTCCCCAAGATGCATGCAGGCTTACGCTCACACAGAAAAGGTCTGGTGCCTGTTCCCGTTTTAAATGTGACAAATTTTCTACAGCAATAAAGGTGTCAGCGGCCTTAACAAGTCTCTTGGCTTCTATGGCTGGAAAAGCTTATGGGTTGTTAAGCCACAAAATCAGTGTGAATAACTTAGATGGAGCTCACTTTGAAAGTCTCTTTTCTGGTTCTTCCAGATAAATACTTTCAGTGGCATAGAGATTTTCTCAATTTGACATTTTCAAAGGAAATTAATTTCCGATTTTCTTAATATGAAAAGTGAGACAGCAGAAAATGAAATTCATCTGAATGCAGTTATCACACTCTGGGAACTGAGAAGACCCCAAAGTCAGATCTGATATTCAACAGTGTACATGTTTTTTAAGCTTTGAAAAGTGATATCCTAAATTTCTAATGTTAAATTTTAAAATCCTTGAGTTTAAATTAAAGTGTTCTTCAAACCAGAACTAAGCATAAAAGTCCTCCTTAAATACGACTTTAGACTAAAATTGGTCCCCTTAAGGAACTGGAGAAAATGACGAGAGACGGATGTAATTAGGAATAATCTTCTCAGCCACATGTGTTCATCATATTAAAAGGATATTAATGCAGAGATTAAGCCAGTGAGAGTGCCGAGTGCTGCTGAGCCAAAGAACATTTTGAGGAAGTAGCCAAGGGCTTGTAAAAATGTTTGCCACCCACTGACATCTGACATATTTTTTCTTGTTAAACCTTCAGCTGTGCTAGGAAATAAAAGAAAAAAAAGAAAGAAGTTAAAATGTTATAGACAAAGTTATTAGAAATTAACTTAGAACTCAAAACTTATTTCTGGCTTATTCTCTCATTCATTCATCATTCAACCCATTAGTCAAACACTTATTTGTTCACCTACTTTGTTCCAGGCACTGTGTTAGTTTCTGAGGGTTCAGAGATGAGAGCAGGTGCCTGCCCTTAGGGAACTCTATAGTCTAATGAGGGAGAAAAACAAGATGGAGGGCTTCCCTGGTGGCGCAGTGGTTAAGAATCCGCCTGCCAATGCAGGGAACACGGGTTTGAGCCCCAGTCCGGGAAGATCCCACATGCCACGGAGCAACTAAGCCCGTGCGCCACAACTACTGAACCTGTGCTCTAGAGCCTGTGAGTCACAACTACTGAGCCCACGTGCCGCAACTACTGAAGCCCACGCACCTAGAGCCCGTGCTCTGCAACGAGAGAAGCCACTGCAATGAGAAGCCCGCGCACCGCAACAAAGAGTAGCCCCTGCTCACGGCAACTAGAGAAAGCCCACGCGCAGCAACGAAGACCCAACACAGCCAAAAAGAAAATAAAAAACTAACAAGATGGAAACTAGGACCATCTCAGGAAAGAGCAGAGAGCTGTAGGAAATACACGGTGGGCATCAAACTCAGACTGGTGGGGGTCTAGGAAGGTTCTTTATGGCACATGGGCTGGGTTTCAATTTAGGATAAAGAAGAGCTAACCAGGTGAAGAAATGAGGGAATGCACCCAAGGCAGAGGGAAGAGCATGTGTGGAGGTAGGGAGCCCCAAAATACTAGCAGTGTATCTAGGAGCAGGAAGTTACACAGACAACTGTGGACAGAACACAGGAACTGGCTGCTGGGGGAGGGGCTGGCGGGGAGGACAGTGGCAAGAGTAAGGCAAGAGCAGCAGGCGGGGCCAGGCCCTGTGAAAGGCTTTCGATGAACCAAGCTAAGGAGTTGGTGTTTCATCCTGAAGGCCCTGGGGAGTCACAGGAAATGTTTTCAGTGCGGGGTGGGCGTGGGGGAGTGGGGATCCTGTGGGATAAAACCCGAAACTGAGGCTGTGGCATGAAGTCAGACTAGAATGGAGCCTCCTGAAGAAGAAATATCAGTGGGTAAGGCCCAGAGTGGGGATTTGGGAGGAGACATCAAGAGGAAGAATTGAAAGGGCTTTCCTTTCACTGCTACAGAGCAAAGAAAAATGTCAGCAGCCATTAAATTCAACTGTTGGTTTTACCCCCAAGGGTAAAACCATTATACCATTAAAAGAGTTATTCTCATTAAATCTCCTCCTCCTGCTGAGTCCACCTTCTCTCAAATCCATCCACTTCTCTCCCTCCCTCCCCTACTATCCTCCAGCTCTGGGCTTCTGCCTCAGGGATCTCTCTCTCTATACATCCTGCTCTTCCTAGGAGAACCCATTCTCTACTCAGGGGCCTGAACGATCCCTTGAAAATGCACATCTGATGGAGTTACTGGCCTGTTCAAAACCCCTCGTCAGTCTCCTGCTGCTTTCAGGGGGAAGCTTAGGCTTCTGAGCCTGACGGACTCCTCCCCACCACACCTCCCATCCCATCTCCTCCTCATTCGGGCGGGGGTCCACTGTCACTGACACCTCCCGGTAGGTCGTATGTCACTCTTCCTGGGCTCCAGCTGACTCTGGCTTGTTCTCAGCACACAGGGTCAGTGACACTCCCTCAGGGACACCTGCCTTCACATAGGCCAGCCCATTTACAGGCTCTCCTGGTGCCTGACTTCTCCACAGCAGTGGAACTAGTGAATCATTCCATGAGGACCATGCCTGTGTCCACCTTGTTCACTGCCATATGTCCAGGGCCTAAGCAGAGCCCAGCACACAGAAGATATTCAACAAATTTTTGCTGAATCAGTAAACAAAACAAAGAATTGTCAATAGTAATGCTCAGCTTCATTAATTAGCGTTTCATGAACTGGTATAATTTTAAAGCAGGATGATTTGTGATAAAAGGGTGGCTCGGTCAGATAACCTCAGGCTTTTGTGGTGATTTACAGCATAATATAACATAATAAAGGTTCTGAGAAGTGCTGCAAAAAAGAAAACCAACTTTTTTCACATAAAAGTTTTCTAAACTCACCCCAATAGCCCCATTCCCTTTCTTTCCCAGCAGATCCCATGTTAACATCCCACCTTGGGGAAAGCTGGGAACCAATAAGGTTCTTATTGGGAAAGTACTTTTGAAGGCTAAGATCACCTCTAGGTCCCAAATGGATCCGTGGGCCACGAGCATAGCATCCAGCCCCCTCATTTCATTACCACAGCTGGGACACTGGCTGGTGTCACGCTTTCTTTTCATGCAAAGGAGACTGAGGCCTAAAGAAAGTGGCTAACTGGGTGAGGTCACACCAATGGTTAACAGCAGACCCAGGGCCGAGGCCAATGGTTTCTGAACTCAAGATAAATGAAGGTAGAATTCGGACTCTTTCTAGCCTGGAAATGTCATGCATTTTACTTTTTCAGGTCATGTTCCTCACACCTTAAAGAATAAAAGACAATGTTGCTTCAGGATCCATTTCATGAGCTTTAGCTGCAGCTGCAGAGAACTAAAGGTTTCCTCTACCACAATTATTGTAAGAATAGATTGTCATAGTAACAAATCAAAGCTAAAAATAATTTAATTAAGGTTAATGAAGAAACAGAAGATACTCAGCTTTCTGGCACTTATGAAAGTGAAAACATTAAAAAAGGGGTAATTCATTCACATATTCAGTTACAAAGATAAATGTATCATCATCAGATCACTCTGAAAAACAAGATGTGATTCTTCCTTGTAACCAAGGAAAGCTGACAACACCTCCCCCCTACACTGCAAAAACAAGGCAGTCCTACCACATCCCCTTTCTCCCCCATCTCCCGCTTTCACCGGAAAATGCCTACGGACTCACAGGACAACCCATCTGAGTCAGAGACTTAGGTCAGTGACTCCTACCCCAGCCTGTGTACCGGTAAGTAGTGGAGGTGAAGGCTGGAAACCATATATGCATGTGGCCCCCTGATTCAATTTTGGAAACTGTCATCATAGGTGAACTTGGCCTTCAAAAGCACTTTTCCAGGAAGAATGTATGGCTAGTTACAATGACTCCATCCTTTCTCATTTTAAAAACAAAGTATCTCCTAACCTTTGGCCTTTCTGTGGCAAAGGAGACCTGGGAAAGCTCAGAAAAGATCCTACTTCTGCCAGATTTAAGAAAAAAATAAATTAGAGACAAGGCAGTTGAGTTTAGCTCCTCATGTATAAGAATAACTCATGATGTCACCTCCAATTTAGGCACAATTCCTTATCACAAATGTTCAAATGCACAACCAGGACACAAGATAAAGGTAAAAACCAGAAAACTAAGACACTTTCAAAGTAGGTCTTAAGAAAAAATATCAGATTTTTTTTAAAAGCTCTTACAGCATGATATATAATTTCCTAATAAAGCTACAGAAATTTTTGCCAAGAGAAACATGAAAAAGCCAACAATAGGGAACTGGTCAAATAGATCACAGTAAATCCATAAATAGATCACAGTAAACCCATAGAAAGAATACTATGCAACTAGTTAAATGATGTTATAAATATAAATGATGTTTATCAACTCCATTCAATGGAAAAGTTACAATACAGTATATACCCATCTAAATAAATTACATGTACCTTCTACCAAATTGTTAACTGTAATTATCTCTTGGGAGTTACAATGCTTGCATTTTTTTCCTTTTCTTTCTTTCTTTGTAAGTTTTCTAAATTTTATATACAGAATATATGTATTATTTTAGAATATATACATATGTTTTTGTTTTGTTTAAGGGTCTGCTGAGCACCTCTTTCAATTAAGCAACACTTGGTAAGTTCTTCCTGCAAAAGCAGGACAAAAACAGGACAAACAATAGCTGGGGGACAGGAGCAGAAGAGGAAAGGATCTCACATTCACCGACGGCAGATGCTTTGCACATAGTAGATTTAACTACTCGATCCTCAAATCCAATTCTAGGCTGAGGCATTATCACCCTCACTTTACTGTTGAGACACCTGTGGCTCAGAGAGGTTAAGGAGCTGACCCAGGGTGTCACACAGCTGAGTGGCCATCACTGGAACTTGAACCCAGGTCAGCCTGACCCCAAGACCTGGGCTCTTTCCACGATAAAATGTTCTTTTATTCCAACATAAGAATGCTGAATATAGTCTATAGTACGGCTTTTAAGAAAACCACAGAGTGGTTATGCTTTGCAAGGAATCCCACAACAAAGGAAACAAGTTCAAAATCAAAATGGAAAAACTATTCTTTAACAGAACACATAATGGCCCCCCAAATTCTCTTAGCTAATCTCTGATACATTGTCCAGGGCTCTTTTCTCCAACTGCTTTGACTGTCTGTACCTTCTTGTTTTTTGGTAAAACTGTCTGGGTCTCCTGTCCATACATGAACACCACAAACCTCAGAGTGCAAGGAAACAGCCCCGCATCCGACAAATGGATTTGAGATGAACTTAGACTCATTTGCTTTTCCCAATGACTTCTTGACATTTTATGGCTCATCTTTAATTTCTCAGATCCTATCAACAAGGGCAGTATACCAATGAACAACTGAAAAAGATCTGCAATTTCCAAAGTAGCTTTCACATAATAGCATCTTAAGGCAGGATGCCCGTGAATATCAGTACCGTACCTTACAGCTGCAAAAAGGAAGGTGACGTGCACCAGCTCACAAGTGGGACAACAGGGCCTCTGTCACATGCTTTCATCTGGAACAATGCTGCCCAAATACTGATCCTTCAACTGGCTGCTCCATCATCATCTGGGGACTCACCCCAGACCTACTGAATTGGAAGCTCTCAGGGTGGCACCTGGGAATGCTACATTTAATAAGCACCCCCCGTGATGCTGATGAGAAGCTGGGCTTTATTTATTTATTTAGGCCACACCCCATGGCATGTGGGATTGTAGTTCCCCGACCAGGGACCGAACCCACACCCCCTGCATTGGAAGCGTGGAGTCTTAACCACTGGACCTCCAGCGAAGTCCAAGCTGGGTTTAATTTAAAAGCACTGCTAAAAGGTAGATCCTAAAAGGCAGATTCTCCTCTAATCACCCTGGGCCTTGACAAGATTCCTGGGGCACATCAAGGCTTGTCAGGCCAGAAAGATGGAGAAGCAGTGAACCAATCACCCAGAGGATAAGCAACTGTACACGCAGCTGCACGGAAATATCTGCCCCTCTGATACAAGGCCCTTTAGTTCTGTCACTTGAAGAAAGCACACTTACTTGGTCAGGACAATGGAGACCGCATCGTTGAGAATGCTCTCTCCAAAAACCAGCATGTTGAGCACCGGGTCCACATGAAGTGCATTGAAAATAGCAATAGTAGCCACTGGATCAACAGCAGATATTAGGGAGCCAAATGCAAAACTGTCAAAGAGAAAAGGAAGGGGTAGTTCTGTAACGCTTAACCCCTGGTCCACATAGTAAAACATTAAACTCAGAGACGGTATTTAGTATAACAACAGTACACACTGTAGCTGAAGGAACTATAGAAGATGGTGGTTTTTTCTCCACTTAAAATACCTGCTAATTAACATTGTGGGTGGAGAAGTGAAAGTCCCACTCTACAAGCTGTTGTTATGAATGGCCTGGTTTTCCACTGAGAATACCAAGATTTTATTTTGACCAATGACAGAGGGAAGACTTTTGCTTAAATACATGACAGCCATCCCAGCCTTCTTGGTCAGAGCAGCTGGAACCATGGTGGCCCAGAGGGCCTCCCCTAAACGGCCCATGTGCTCCTGGGTCTGACCTCTGCTCTGCCCCTTGCCACCAGGCCACCGGAGTGCCATCTGTGACCGACGCCAGCCTCCACTCAGATCTGCAACATCTAGGAAAGTGCCAAAAGTCAGCAGCAACTGCAGCCTGCTTCAGGGGCTGCGCAGCCTGGGAGGCAGACAGCGACACCAGTGCTGCCTACCACCAGGCCAGCAGCTCTCACCCCAGTACCCACGAGGGTCTAACTACCTCCAACAAATGGGCATTAACCGCCTAATATGTTTCAAGCACTAAGGCTTTTTCTTAAAAAACATTTATTTATTTGGCTGCGTCGGGTCTTAGTTGCGGCATGCAGGCTCTTTCGTTGCAGCGCGCGGGCTCCAGAGCATGCGGGCTCAGTAGTTGCGGTGAGGGCTTAGTTGCCCCACGGCGTGTGGGATCTTCGTTCCCTGACCAGGGACTGAACCTGTGTCCCTTGCATTGGAAGGTGGATTCTTAACCACTGGACCACCAGGGAAGTCCCAAGGCTTATAATAATAGCAAATATTTATGTGGCACTTACCACGTGCCAGGCAATGTTCTGAGCACTTTACATATAGTAGCTCAATAATCCACAAAGCAACCGTATGAAATGGTACTAGTATTGCTCTGATTACAGAGGAGAAAACTGAGGGACAATGAGGTGAAGGAACTTGCCCAAGGTCAGACAGCTAGGAGGTGGCGAAGCCCGGATCCAAACACAGGCCATCTGGCTCAGAGTGGGTGCTCTTAGCCACTACACTGGATACAGCAATACCCGGAGGCCAAGGTCAACTTAGAAAAGGCGAGTGTTACACAGGAAGTCAGGGTGATGAGAGAAAGAGTAACATGGCGGGGTGGTGTGGAGGCATGGGGGTGGGGCCCACTTAGATCGGGGGGTCAGGAAAGGCCTCTCTGAAGAAATGATGCTTATTTAAACAAGGGCCTACCTGACAAGAAGCAGATGGACAGGCCAAGACCTGGGGGCAGTGACCAGAGCAAGCTACCTCTGAGGTGGAGCAAGCTTGGTTGCCTGAGAAACAAAACAGTGAGACTGGCAGCAGCGCAGTGAGGGCAAGTGGCTGGAAATGTTGGAGTCTGGGAGGGAGGCAGGGCCGGGTCACCCCGCGGGGCCTTGGGGGCCGCCTGAGGAGTCAGGACGATTATTCTCGCAGCCCATTTGTCTTCTTCCCCTTAGAGTGCTTGCAAGCCCTCGTCGCTTCCCTCAAAAGGCCTCGCCTGGCACTGCTTTCCTTCCAGCTCAGCAGAATGGTTAGGTCTGCCCCCTTCCGCAACACAAGAAGCCACGAGGGGACAGCCTCGGGTGGAGACGTGAGCCAGAGCCCATCCACCTGTTTCCCGCCTGCACCAAGCTTGCGGTCTGGGAGGGATGAGGAGCTACCTGGCCTGGGGACTGGAGCGTGCTCTGTCCACCGTATGTCACCAGCACGATCATCTGGCTCCGGGCTCAGGGAGAGGAGCGCTGATGGGAAGGGATGTGTGGCTGCCCTGCCAGTTACAGTTCTCTTCATAAACCGATAATCTGGCGTACCGGTTTCCGTGGTGGCGCCCTGAGTTCGGTTAATGTGAATTCATGCAGGAGAGCCTGCTCACTTCAAAGACGGCCTCAGCTCAGACTTCAGTTCCCAGACTTGCCCTGTCCTCACAGAGCTTGTCGCGTGCATTATGAGCTGTGACTTCACCTGCCTCTCACCTCACTGTGAGCGCCCAGAGATATTTGGGGAAGGCAGGCAGGAGGGAGGGGTCCGGGAGGGAAGAAAAGGTAACTCCACCAAACAGCTGCCAACCCGGGAGGCCATGATTTGTTGGCAGCTGGCCTGAAGCCCTTGCTCTGCAACCCACAGAGATTCTTCTCTCCCCTCTCCTTCTTTTATTCCCACTCTCATCACCCACAGCGACATAACAGAGGCCTCGAAGGAAGAAGAACGTCTAAAAAGTACATCTTGGGGACTTCCCTGGTGGTCCATTGATTAGGACTCTGCTCTTTCACTGCCAAGGCCTTGGTTCGATCCCTGGTCAGGGAACTGAGATCCTGCAAGCTGTGCGGCGAGGCCTAAATTAAAAAAAAAAAAAAAAAAAAAAGTGCATCCCAAAGCGGGGTGGGAGCCTGGGAGTGTGCCGCAGGTTGTGTGCTGGGTAACGACTCCATGCGGCTCGCGGGCCCCTCCCTCCATCCCTCAGCAAGCACACAGTGGACAGCACCCACAGCCCCACTGGGCTCCAATTGCCCTTTGTGGAGCCAGGCCTCCTCCACCTTCCATCCCTGTATTGCGTGGGGCTCTAGGAGTAGGCAGGGGACCCAAGCCTGGTCAGAGGTCCATCGCCAGGCATTCTACCAGGTCACCAGATATTAGGTTGGCCCTTTTGGCGGGGACAGCGAGGGTGATCGTGAGACGAAAGCCATTGGTGCTGCCACGTGGGGTGAGTGCACCTGAGGATGACGTCGACCAGGGAACAGCTAAGACAGAGAGGGGAGAGGTTCCTGACATCACAGGCCCCCAGAGGCTGTCATGCAGGAAGCCATCACTCCGGGGACACTTCTGTTCTACGAGTCAACAAACTTCTTTTTTGCTAAAACGAGTTCGTGTTGGGTTTCAGTTGCACTGAAAGAGGCCTGACTGATGTTCTTTGTCATAGTTCCTGTGGCATCCTGAACTGAAAACCAAACAGCAGGAACCAGAAGACGGACTGATGAATGGACAGAGGGATGGAGAGATGGAAAGATCTGTGGTTAAAGAAAATCCAGTGAAAACAGTGACTGTAGAATCTAGGCGGTCATGTGCGTGTCCACTGTACAGTGCTTCACCTTTTCTGTGTGTTTGAAATTTCCATAATAAAATGTTGGGGGAGAAGTGCTTTGCATAAATTATGTAACACATTTAGCTTTGGCTGAGACTCTAAATTGGGGCACAGTGTTTCTGACAGTGAACATGGAAAGTCGGAAATATGAACTGCCTGAATCATGGAGAGGTCTGAATATAAGCAGGCATTGAATCTTGCCCGCAGCTGTTCCACATCACAGCTTATGACCCAGTCTTTTAAAAGGCCAGAAGCCAGAAGTTCAACTGAACAATGTGTTTTCTTTATTCCATCATCTCAGAAGACAGCAACGTCAACAAAACAAAAAGAAAATGGACTGGGGGACTTCCCTGGTGGCACAGTGGTTAAGAATCTGCCTGCCAACGCAGGGAGCCCTGATCTGGGAAGATCCCACATGCCGTGGAGCAGCTAAGCCCCTGCACCACAACTACTGAGCCTGCGCTCTAGAGCCCATGAGCCACAACTACTGAGCCTGCGTGCCACAACTACTGAAGCCCGCACACCTAGAGCCCGTGCTCTGCAACAAGAGAAGCCACCGCAATGAGAAGCCCCGCTCACCGCAACTAGAGAAAGCCTGTGTGCAGCAACGAAGACCCAACGCAGCCAAAATTAAATAAAATTTAAAAATAAAAAAAAAAAAAGAAAATGGACTGGGATGGTGAAATAATTTAGGGTGTATCTACGAGTGAATTAGCTCTCCAGAGGAAACACCAGTGAAGTAAAACCTTCTGTGCAAAAAAGTTATTTTTATGTTTCCTACCGTGCAGAGGTCCATGGGCCTCATGTTTGACCTGCATGGTGTTTTGAAAAATGGATCAAGTTGGCAACATTTAAAACAGGAAAATTCCCTATTAAAATCTAGAAACTTGGCCTCTTTTGGAAAAAAAACAATTAAGTATCTGGCAATTCTGGGTCCATGTTCCCACGTGGTAATTAGCCGGTGGAGCTAAGAGGTGGCTGTCCCCTTCAGACGATGGACTCTCCGGCTCACCACTGTCACCACCTCCACACACACACCTGGCCAGCTCCCCTCTGTGAAGGGTTCTGCCAGGCCCTGCAGCTGTGTGGGTTTGCGACTGCTGGCTAATTTCCCCCAGAGCACCCCCCATCTGTGGGACAGTCACTTTCTAACAGGAAAGGAAGTGTCTGCCCACACAGAGAGAAACTCCACCTGGTTCTTACTCTGCTTGTCTAAGGGCCAATTCTTTTATTCCTCTCTTCCTGAACATCCCAACCTCCAGTTCAATTCAATTACACAAGGATTTATCAAGTGTTTTTTGTATCTCTAAGCAGTTGCCCCCAAACAGGTTGAAGGACTGAATGCTGTGACATCTTCCTTTACATCCACTGGGTTTTGAACATTTCTTTTCAGTTGCAAAATACCTACAAAATGCAGGGCATCAGTTCTGCTCGGCCTCACGCTCTCTATGGAACAGGGATGTGACTTTCGCTACTTTCGCTACTTGTTTGTATAGCAAGACTATCTTACAACAAAGGCTTTGAAATTTATGTCCCTGGAGAGAAAATGAGGCTGGACTTGATGCTATCACTTGATTTCTCACGAAAAGGGCTCCAAGATTTTAATCTCCAAGTTGCTGCTGAAGGCTGTAAGCTCTGGTTGGCCCAGTGAAAGGGACCCCGGGGCAGAGCACTGGGTCCCACTTCCGAGCTCCCCAGCCAAGCACAAGACAGAATCCAGTGCTCCCGGGAGAGAAACACAGAGCAAGGCTGCATATTCACTGCACTTCTCAGAGACGGGAAACCAGGTCACGCTGTGTGTGTGCACTTTTTTAGCACTAGATCTGGTAACTTCGGCTTCCTAGGTTGCTTCTTGCTAAGCCAATTATGGAAATTTCTGGATTGGGCTCCTAGACAGCAGCTCTGAGTGCCCAATGGAGTAGCTGCAGCCTGAGAAGGGCGCCCACAACAGAGCACCTCCTTCCCCCTCCCCATCCCCACCGCCTTGGGGGGAATCCCAGAGTAAAGATTCACACCTCACCCCCGACTCCATCCCCAATCTCTCAAGAAGACAACTTTTCATTATGGCCATTGCAAAGCCTTAGAAATGAGCTGAAGATGATTCTTAATAATAAAAGGACAATGGTGCAGCGTGTGGTGTGTGTGAGGTGGCAGTTAACTTAACTAACCAAGAGTTATTCCCTTCAAAGCTGAAACTAAATCATTTCCATCAGCAACCCTCTGACTGGAGATCTTCAAAATTCCTCAATATAGTTTTGATTCATTTCAGAGACACAAATTAATTCAGAATAGATTCTACAGCAGAAATAGTCAGCAAAACGAAAAGACAGAATAGAGAAGTACCACAGCCAGGAATCAATGTGGAGAAAACTTGGCCCCAGTCTGAAAAGTAGCCACATGGGTGTTACAGTATGAAAGGTTTACCTGTCTGTCATGTTGAGTTTAGAGATTACATCAGCCTGTAAAATAAAAAACACAAACACACAGACACACAAAAAAAACCCCTGGAGAACAGCCAAGAAGATTAAAATGTCCATTAGTGCTTTATTACAAACTAATAAGGACATTAATCTTCAGTCCCCAAACCACTTGAAAAATACAGAAAACTCCTAAGTTTTAGTTTAGGCATGCATTCAATCATCATACACAGGAAGTATGAAAATGAACACTAATATTTGCAAGCCAAATTAATGAGTTTTCTTCTCTAAAGTTTATTCCCATTTGAAGCTGGAAGCTGAGCAATGAAGAAGGTTGCATGACAGACAGATTTATTCTGGTGCCATTGAGGCAGCAGTAAAGGTGAAAATCAGATGGAATATATGGGCTTTTACCGACAGCCATCAAAAGCAGCAGACACATCTGACACATGTAAGAGAAATCTGCCAGTTACCCCAAGACCTGGATCTCAAACTGCGTTTGCAGAACTAGGGCGGAGAAACTTTCTGCAACTGACCATACTGGAAGAGAACTGTGACATGCACAGACGTGCATAATGCAAAGCTACAGATACTACCTTCCTAGGTAGGTCTGGTTTAAATTAATTCAAATTAATTTGAATTCAAAGTACAAAACACTCAGTTGATGACACCGGGAATTGGTTTAGCAATGGTGGAAAATCCAGGGAAAATAATTCTACAGGACAGCTTAGAATTGAGTGAAGACATAGAGAATTATCTTTGATTTTTAAAATGCAAATTTTTATTAAAGAAACAGTGTTTAACCTTGATTCAGTCTGACAACAGAATTGATACTGTTATAATTTGAAGATCTTGCTGGTATATATTCTGCTTTATTTTTAGGTATTCCAACTTAAGACAATATTGGTTTGCAAATAATATCAAATACTTTTGGGGATTATGGAAAAGATTCACTCAATTCCAGACACCAAAGCTTCTCGAGGACACTGAGAGACAACTTCAGCATGCCTTTACTGTGCCTTGTTTGAGTCCGGATTTCTTTGCAGGAGAGCATTTTCCTTGACTGCAAAACCCCCATGAGGTGTCACTACCCCACTTCCCTGCATGAGCTCTAAGAATGTAAGGTTTTCAAAGTTTTCAAAGATGTTTTCCTTACCTGACCCAGAAAGTAAATTCCTCCACCTACTACAAAAGCGGAAATTGCCGTACCAAAAACAGCAAATAGGGTGATGGAACCAATATTTTGAAAGAAGTTACCCTGTTTGAGAGAACAGAAATGAGAGGAATAATTAGAAAGGCTGGTCTGCTCAGTGAAGTCATGGACCCCACAGCTGGCCCTCCTCACATGCTTGATTCTCTGTAAAGGGCACCATCACCCACCTTGGTTGGCAAGCTCTAGAAACCTGGGCATCTTCCCTCACCCCCACATGCAATGCAGAGCCAAGTCCTGTGGCTTTTGCGTTCCCCACGTCACTCACATCTCCCTGCTTCTCTCCATCACCATCCCCACCGCCCTTGCCCAACTGCCATCATCTCTCCCCTGGATCACTACAATAGCTTCTAACAAGTCTCAACCAGCCCTGGCCCTTGCCCTCTTGCTCTCCAAGTGCTTCCAGAATGATCTCTGCAAAAGATAAGTCTGACTGTGCTGCCTACATTCTGACCCCCACTTCCACTCAAAACGCAGTTAAAACCCAACCAAAGCCTGGATGGTTTGACCCCTCGAAGGCCTCTAACCTCCCCTTTGTTCTCTGGGTTCCAGTCACACTAGTAGCTTTTTGTTTTTCAAACACATCATGCTCCCTGGGCTTGGACCACTCTTCCTTCCCCTTCACTTAGTGAACTTTAATCGTCCCAAGATCTCAGGACATTTTGACTCTTCCTGAGGGAAGCCTTCTCTGATTCCTTACCCAAGTCAGATCCCAGTCTATGCTCTCAATGCACAGTGACTCTCTCCTGGTAGCACTTGACATAGCTGAAACGTTACATTTATTTTATGTAATTATTTGGTATCTGTCTTTCCCACTAGGTTGCAGGCTCAATGGGGGCAAAGACCACATCTGCTTTTGTATAACAGTCACTGGCATACAGCCTGTGAGATGCAAGATGCCCCATGAATAGGTACTAAAGGAATTAACTGTGTTTCATGTCTGATTAAAGTCCAAAGTTTATATAATTATAATTTTTCAATTAATTAAGAAAAGGTACATTGCTACAAAGAATGTCAAGATAATAGATTATACTATCAGAAGCTCCTTTTTGTAGTCCACATCTTTTAAGCAATTTTATTTCACTCTATTAGTATCATCAAATATGATAGATAAAATATATTCCCATCTATACAGCATTTAAGAGAAAATATTTGAGTCCAAGCAGTATGGTAACATCTTTCAAATTTCCATAAAATTTAAAAAATTAAGCTATTTATTAGAACCCTGTGGACTCTGTTTAGGAATAAGGCCAGGGTAACTTGATGGTCCGTGATTGTGGGTCTGGACAAGGAAAACCATTTTTTCGCTCAGAAATTGTCAAGCCATGGACAACAGGAACTGATACTTTTTTTTTTTGGCCACCTCATGCAGCTTGTGGGATCTTAGTTGACCAGGGATTGAAACCTGGGCCCTCGGCAGTGAAAGTGCTGAGTCCTAACCACTGGACCACGAGGGAATTCCCAGGAACTGATACTTTATAAAGCTCACTTCAGAAGACTGTCCTCAGCTCAGCACTGACAACCCACTAAGTCTATCTCCTTCAGGAAGTTCCTTTGCTTCATTTTTTGCAATTTTGATTTGGCTGACCATAATCAGACATTCAATTACTTTGTTTGGCATCTCAATCTTTAGCACACAAAGAACTTTAAAATAGCTCAAGGCAAACACAATGATTTAGTTTTTTCCTAAACAAAAGGCTTTCATCTACGAGTTCTTCTTTGCAGAGAGCTGCTTAATTTTGTTATTTAAAAATAGATTACGCTAAGCCTTGGTCTGTTTATAGGGATCTAATTCTGATATAACTTACGTCGTTGGCTAATATTAATCTGGATGTTGGAAAGTTACCCAAATTCAAGTTGCCCCACTATAAGAACTTCCCTTTGCTACATAAAGCAAATTTATCTGCTTCTCTCAGACATAATTTAAAAAATGTTCTATTCTTGGGCTTCCCTGGTGGTTCAGTGGTTAAGAATTCGCCTGCCAATACAGGAAACATGGGTTCGAGCCCTGGTCCGGGAAGATCCCACATGCCGCGGAGCAACTAAGCCTGTGTACCACAATTACTGAGCCTGCGCTCTAGAGCCCGCGAGCCACAGCTTCTGAGGCCCGCGTGCCTAGAGCCCGTGCTCCGCAACAAGAGAAGCCACCGCAGTGAGAAGCCTGCGCACTTCAATGAAGAGTAGCCCCCGCTCGCCCCAACTAGAGAAAGCCCACGCGCAGCAACGAAGACCCAATGCAGCCAAAAGTAAATAAATAAATAAATTTATTTTTTAAAAAGTTCTATTCTTTATATTAATAATTTAAAGAACCAAATAGCTGCCTACCTAATACATACCAACTGATGATAACTGTACTGAAATTTTTATTCCAAGTCCAAATTTACGTCAGCAAATATAGCAATATTAAAATAAAGTCAACTTCCTATCTTCTTTGGGGGTGGGTAGGCAGTGGACAGAAGTCTCTGAATTCCCATTCCAACTCACACTAGTCCCTTTCACATAAATTGTCACAGTTTCTGCTGTAAAGCCATCTTCAAAATTTTCTTCTCTTAAGAAACTATTTTCCTCAAATTTTGAATAAGTTTATTTCCCCTCCCTCCAAAAAATTAGAAAATAAAAAGTTTACATGTGCTAATATAATAACCAGTCTTATGTTTTTAAGTCAAAATCGAATCATTTTTCGGGAGTTCCCTGGCAGTCCAGTGGTTAGGACTCTTGCTCTCACTGCCGAGGGCCCAGGTTCAATCCCTGGTCGAGGAACTAAGATCCCACATGCCGAGTGGCAGCCAAAGGGAAAAAAAAAAAATCAATCCATTTTCTTCAGCACTGTTTTGAAATATTTTCATAATCTGCTCAGTTCTTTCAAGATTTGTTCACAAAATTAAAGAGTGAGAGATACTGACCTTCAAATCCTTCTTGCTTGTTTTCTTTTTAACAATTATCTGATGTCAGTAATGGTTTATAAGATATGGGATTTTTTTAATATTAAATTTCCTTTTCACTTTTTCTTTTGATTAATGCACAATAAAATAATAACTTAAAAAAAATCTGGCCTGAACATCTTAGAATAATTTTGCTTTAATATCCAGGAGGAAAATTAAAAATTTAATTTGTATGTTTTTACCAAAACACTCATAACAAATTTAACTCAAGTTTATTACATTATTATTAATAATAACACTAGTCATGTTATAATAGATAATAACAAGAAGCACCACCAACAATTATTTAATGTGGTGAGTGGTGCTTTGCATACATTCTTTCATCTAGGAGGTAGGGTTTTGGGGATCTTTTTGTCCTCTGTTTTTAATTTCTACTCTACTCAAAAGGAACCTATAGGGGGCAGCGCATGATTAGGCCTAGGTCTCTCTGGCTTAAAGTCCGGGCTCTTTCCTCTCTCCAAAGATATGCCGATCCTTAGTCTTTCCAACCTTCACAGTTTTTTTAAATCATATTTACAAAATAACTGTTGTATTACTAGTATTTTAAGTTGAATCACCTTTTTATTTTAAAACTTAAATACACTTATATTTAAAAAGAACTCATATGGACTTCCCTAGTGACGCAGTGGTTTAGAATCCGCCTGCCAATGCAGGGGACACGGGTTCGAGCCCTGGTCTGGGAAGATCCCACATGCCACGGAGCAACTAAGCCTGTGCGCTACAACTACTGAGCCTGCGCTCTAGAGCCCGTGAGCCACAACTACTGAGCCCGCATGCCACAACTACTGAAGCTCACACACCTAGAGCCCATGCTCCACAACAAAAGAAGCCACCACAATGAGAAGTCGGCGCACCGCAATGAAGAGTAGCCCCGCTCACTGCAACTAGAGAAAGCCCGCAGGCAGCAACGAAGACCCAACGCAGCCATAAATAAATAGATAAATAAATAAATAAATAAATGTATTTAAAAAAACAAGTTTGCTACACAAATTTAAAAAAAAAAAGGAACTCATAGACAAGGAAAAGACTCAGGTACACACACAAACTGGCTTAAAAGCGAGAAGCTCCTGCCCAGGCAGAAAGAGCCCCACTGGAAGCTGGAAGACAGAGACCAGAAATGCCAGAGCAAAGCAGAGAACTGAGCAGGGGCCAGTGATGCTGCTCTCCAGGGTCAGGGAGCCAAGAATGAGCGGAGCAACTGTGGGAGTAGGTGGCTGGGCCAGAAGGAGGTGGAAGACTAGGGGGAAGGATGGGGCTCCAGTCTGGTGAGGAAAAGCACGGCCAGGGAGAGGGTGGGAAGGAATGGAGACTGGGGCTTAAAGGGCATAATGGCTGGGAGCTGAGGCCCAGGGCAGTGCCCTGAGAGGGCAGACACTGAAGGATGGATGGGCCCAAGGCAGGAGAAAGGCCCGATATGGTGACGTGAGAGAACCAGTAGGCCTGGGGCACCTGTCCCTGTCATCCCAGGACACAGTCTGTCCTCTTAACATGGGTCAGTCTGTGTCCAAGAGGAGTCAATGTAACACCTGTGTACCACCAAAATCACTTTGGCTATTTCTTTCTAGGCAAAGTACCCCTCTATGGAAAACACTAGTAAGCCACACTGCCTAAAACCATGAAAGCAGCCCACTGACCATGTTTGCTCCCTCTACAAGTCAGGCATGACAGTCTAGCTTCTACCACACACGCCAGGGTGTTCACACAGAGCCACCACTGCTAAATTAACACCTGAGCTTTTAAGGAACTTGCCTTACAAACACACAGAGCCACCCGGACCAAAAGCACTAATGTGTGCCTGAGTCTTACCTTGTGTAATGAATATCCTGACTCAAATATAATAGGTGGAAGCAAAAGGAGGAAAAACATATTTGGACGAAACATTTCTTCCTCCTGTAAATATAAAATGGATATTTTCAGAGGCATGAAGTCTGTGTAATTAAGAAATAAATCCATCAATGAAAAGCCAAAGTAACTGTTCTCTTAGAACCTGGCCCAGTGGAAAAATACAATGCTTAAACCACCACCTGATAATAAAACCAAACAAAAGGAGCGACAAAAACAAACAAAAGGAGAGACAAAAACAAACAAATATACAAAACTCTCAAAACCTGCATTTAAAAATGTAGGACAAATGATTTTAAAAGGTGACCAGCAAAATAAATAGCAGAATGAACCACTTCCAAACATACAGCGGTATGCTTTTTATTCTTTACTAAGGAAAGAAAACTAATTTTAATATAGAAAACATTTCAATTCAAATAGAACACTTTCAAAAACAAGTCCACAAATTGGATTCCTCCAGGAAAAAGGTTAACGGTAAGCCCTAAAACAATCCACTTAGAGGAAGAGTAAACCCTACTCATGTTTAAAATAGCCCTGCCTTTTCTCTGCATGTCATAGACAACTATGCCATTTTCCTAAATCTGATGTGATGAAACAGTCCTCACCTGATGCCCTTGCAACCTGGGACATGGCTATAAAGCGAGCCCCTTGTCATGCTTTCAGATTCAAATATTAAGTACCATTATGAAAGGTATTTTTAGAATATGGCCACCTTTGGGGGGAATGGAATAATAATTTCATCTTCTATAGTAATACAGTTCTCTAGTTGTTGGTGGATTGGGGGAAAATACATACTGGTTCTCAAACCCAAAATGACTACAGGTAATACGCAGTCTATTTAATACTGCAAAATCAGGCCCTTTTCATATGAAAACTTCTATGTCACAATCTTGACAGTCTGACTTCTTGTCAAAATCCCTATTCAAAAGAATGATAAATGTATCCTTACAAATGTACGGCTGTTACCATAAAGACTAAAATAACATTCAAAAAAGGCTCAAAATAGAAGCAAATGATGACTTCTGAAAATGCCTTATTAAGTCTTAAAATAACCGCCTGTATCACAAGCTCATGACTCAGACTGGGGCCATGTGAAAAGAAATGGGCCGATCTCTGTGCTTTGTGGGGCAAGCTATTCGCAGGATCTGTGCAGTTGGGCCACTGCAGAGACTCTGGGAGTTTCAGAAACAAAACACCCCCTGGGAAAAAGGAGAACCCACCTGCAGTGGGTTCACAGTGTCCTCTCCTCCCAATTCATGTGACCTGGAACCTCAAAATGCGACCTGATTTGAAAATAGGGTCTTTGCAGATGGAATTAAGGGAAGAATCACAGCTGAGATCATACTGGATTAGGGTGGGCCCTAAACCCAATGACAGTGTCCTTAAAAGAGACAGAAAGGGACACACAGACACAGAGGTGAAGGCACATGAGGACAGACTGAAGCAGAGACAGGAGTTAGGCTGCCATCACCAAGGAATGCCTGGGACCACCTGAAGCCGGAAGAGGCAGCGAAGGATTCTCCCCTAGGGCCTGGATTCGCTCCCTTGAGGGAGTGTGGCCCTGCCAACACCTTGATTTCAGACTTCTGGCCTCTAGAACTATGAGAGAACAAATCTCTGCTGTTTTAAGCCACCCAATTTGTGGTAATTCGTTACAGAAGCCACAGGAAATGCACACACCACCTTACAGTGAATAGTGTCACAGAAAGATCCCAGGTTCCTTTGGGCAGTATCTCCCCTAAAGTGATCTGATGTGGTTTTAGGTGGTACTTGAGCAATGTGTGTCGAATACCACTGACCCCACGGATTGAGAAAGTCAGCCCTTTTTGATTCTTTCTCAATCCCAATTAAGTCAGACGCGTCAGTTTGGTGCTACCGTGTTAAGCCTCTCTCCAATATGCTGATCCCCCTTTTTGACAAAGAGGACAGGCTTGTCCTCAGAGGCTTCAGCAAGCAAATGTACCACTTTGTTTTTATCGTATTTATTTATAAAAACAATATTGGTTTCCCACTTAAAACAGTATTATAATGTTTCCTTTAAAATAAATGTATATAGTACACCAACGTTCATAGCAGCATTATTCACGACAGTCAAAAGGTGGAAACAACCCCAGGGCCCATCAACAGATAAATGGATAAACAAAGTGTCGTATATACTGACCATGGAATATTATTCAGTCATAAAAAGGAAACAAGTTACGACACAGGCTACAAAGTGGATGAACCTTAAAAACATCATGCTAGGGCTTCCCTGGTGGCGCAGTGGTTGAGAGTCCACCTGCTGATGCAGGGGACACGGGTTTGTGCCCCGGTCTGGGAAGATCCCACATGCTGTGGAGCAGCTAGGCCCGTGAGCCATGGCCGCTGAGCCTGCACGTCCGGAGCCTGTGCTCCACAGTGGGAGAGGCCACACCAGTGAGAGGCCCATGTACCGCAAAAACAAAACAAAACAAAACAGAAAAAAACACATCATGCTAAGTATTGATAAAATAAGCCAGATAAAAAAGGACAAATATTATATGATGACACCCATTTGAGGTACCTAGAATAGGTAAATTCATAAACACAGAAAGTGGAATAGGGGCTACTAAAAAAATAGAAAATACTAAGAAAAATAGAAAGTAGAAAACAAAGTAGGGAGAGAGGAATAGGGAATTGTTTAATGGGTAGAGTTTCCGTCTGGGATGATGAAAAAATTCTGGAAATAGATAGTGGTGATGATTAAACAACATTGTAAATGTATTTAATGCCACTGAATTGTACAGTTAAAAATGGCTAAAATGCTAAATTTTATGTTACGTATATTTTACCACAATAAAAGCTTTTAAAAAACTATTATAAAGACTTATATACATAAAAAAGCAAGTTGACTTAAAGAAACATATTAAGCATATGACAATATAGGTAGAAGGCAGGCCCAGCAGGACAGTCTGGAAACAGACCTACATGGAAAGAAAACACCCAGCAACTTCACTGTTTTTCTTACCTCCCCTGTTCCCTGCAGCACCCAGTTTCCAAACAGATCCTACTTCCTGCTTTGGCTTCCACAAACACCTGCTCCTCCAGAAAGCCTGCCCAATGGTTTTAGCCTAAAAACCTCACCCGTTTCTGAGGTCAAGCACTGGTTGTCTAGATGGCTCTTCAGGGCACTTAATTACATACACCACCCAACTGTGGTTCACTCATCTATACTATTCAATATATTATTATTATTTAACTTGAAAACTAACATCTGTTGAAAAATAAATTTAATAATACCGAAGCATATAAAACTAAAAATAAAAGATAACCTTTCCTCCTCCTGCTCGGAGAAGGGATCATACAGTGTTCCCCAGGGCTGCAGCTGCACTCAGTGCCTCGGATCTCTGCTGTGGGGAATGTGGGCCTGGTGTTGAGAGAGCTTCTGCTTCTTTGAGAGAAGCTAGAAGTTCAAATTTTTATGTGAGGACTTCCCTGGCGGCGCAGTGGTTAAGAATCCGCCTACCAATGCAGGGGACACAGGCTTGAGCCCTGGTCTGGGAAGATCCCACACGCCTTGGGGCAACTAAGCCCGTGAGCCACAACTACTGAGCCCGCATTCCATAACTACTAAAGCCTGCGTGCCTACAGCCCGTGCTCCACAACAAGAGAAGCCTGCTCATGACATCGAAGAGTAGCCCCCACTCACTGCAACTAGAGAAAGCCCGCGCGCAGCAACGAAGACCCAATGCAGCCAAAAATAAATACTTTAATTAATTTTTTAAAAAGATTACAAATTAAGCAGTTTAAAATATTAAAAAAAAATCCATGAGAAATTTCTAGAATTTTGTATAGATTAATAACATTTAAAATAAAACTGGGGGCACAGTTCTTGAGGCGCTAACCTACTGTGTTCCCCCTTTGCCTGGCAAAGAAATAAAGCCACTCTTTCTTTCTCCTCCATGAAAAACAAAATAAAACAAAACAAAAAACTTAATGATTTTTTAATTGTTTTAAAATCGATTCCAATTTTGATCAATTGATTTTAAATCAAACAAAATGTGTTAGCAGGTGGTATTTACACATCAGGCTCTATCTAGTCTAAGAGTTGAGAAAGAGTGTACAGTCAGTTGCTCCTGCCCTAGAATGAGCCACTGTGAGGGGGGTTAAACTGAACCAGTTGCAGAAGCTACTGTGAGGGGGGTTAAACTGAACCAATTGAGCTTCATACACAGCATGCTCCAGTGGGGCCTGCCTAGCCCCTTCCCCAGCTGAGGGTAGCTCTAGAAATATTCCAAGCTCAATGTACATTTTGAGAATTCATTTAATAAAATATATCCTGAATATTATTTATAACAGCTTCAAATTGTGTTTTACATCAGACCATGAGGCTTGTTTTGCAATTTTTTTTTTTTTAATTTACTTATTTCTTTATGTTTGGCTGCATTGGGTCTTCGTTGCCGTGTGTGGGCTTTGGGCTTTCTCTAGTTGTGGTGAGCGGGGGCTACTCTTCGTTGCGGTGTGCGGGCTTCTCATTGTGGTGGGCTTCTCTTGTTGTGGAGCACAGGCTCTAGGTGCACAGGCTTCAGTAATTGTGGCTCACAGGCCCTAGAGCATAGGCTCAGTAGTTGTGGCGCACGGGCTTAGTTGCTCCACGGCATGTGGGATCTTCCCGGACCAGGGCTCAAACCCGTGTCCCTTGCACTGGCAGGCGGATTCTTAACCACTGCGCCACCAGGGAAGCCCTGTTTTGCAAATTTATACTCTACAGTTCCACAGGTAAATTAATCCTCACACCTAGGAGCTGCGTCAAAGTAGGAAGGGCTCAATGTGACACATTTTAACCATACAATTCTTTTAATATTTTGAAGTGGACCTTATTTCCCTCCACAAAATCAGTTTTGTTACACACTTGTTAAACTCCCTACTCGATATAGATGCTCAAAGTTTAAGCTGAAACTTGAGTTTCAATTAGTCCTTGGACCTCACGCTCTAATGACCATTGTGTGAACGTAAGGGTGGGAACATCCACAAGTGAGGACAGCATGGTGTGGCAGAGAAAATATAGAACACATAGGACCAGAGGGTCTGGACACGAGAGCCAACCCAACCGCTCTCTAGCTCTGTGATGTTAGACATGTCCCAACCTCTCAGAGGTCACTTTCTTCACCTGTAAAAACGGGGATAATACGTGGTCAATCTGCCTCCATGGTTGTCATGAGGATGACAAAAGCTACAGTATATAAAGCGTTCTGTAAGGTCTACAGTGCTGGGCAGATGTGTCTTATTGGGCTCAGCTGTCAGAATGGAATTAGGAGCAATAAACATTGTTTAATGTTAAATGCTAATTAGAGCCCTGTATACAGCAAGTTAGTCTAAGATTATAAAAATGCAAGTAAATAACAAAACATGGCATTGAATGCGCCTATGTTAATTTGAAAGTGTGAGATTTATGCTTTTTCAGAAAACTCAGATGTAAAGATATCAACCCTAATCTACCAGAATGTTAAAAAATTAATGGGACAATATAAACTTCACTGACAGTCAAGGAATGATAAGAAAGCCACCATAATCAGTGTTACTAAACTTAAGAACCAATAAAAATTGTAAATATGTTAAAAAAAAAAGAACAATTGGGTAAACCTACCTTCCAATTTGCCAGTTTTTTAAACTCTATAATTTTTATAACTGCTCCCATGAGAATACCTAGAAGAGAAAATGTAAAGTTTAACAAAAATTTAAGATATAAGAAAGATTACTCAGGTTTATTATTCTAAAGAAACTGATTATTATTACGTCTCTAAATGGCATCTATGAATTTCTGCGTTTTACGTCTGAAAACATTAAGAATGGAAATTCGTGGGGAGTTTTATGAATCACGTGAGTTTCTCACTTGCATCTCAGGCAAACATACTATAAAGAAGTCTAGGGCTTCCCTGGTGGTGCAGTGGTTGAGAGTCCGCCTGCCAATACAGGGCACACGGGCTCATGCCCCGGTCCGGGAAGATCCCACATGCCGCGGAGTGGCTGGGCCCGTAAGCCATGGCCGCTAAGCCTGCGCGTCCGGAGCCTGTGCTCCGCAACGGGAGAGGCCACAACAGTGAGAGGCCCGCGTACCACAAAAAAAAAAAAAAAAGAAGGCCGACAAAGATCTGGGGCTGGGGGTGGGGGGAGGGGTGAAAAAACTTTACAAAACAAGACCTAGGGATAGTTTGCCTGGCATGGAAGATTTAAACATCTGTCATTCTTGCTATATCCACTCATTTTCGATTGAAATGGCAGAAAGCTAAGTTTGCCCTGTACTACTTATCCCTACCGTTTTCAAAAAGTAATCCAAGATCACTTTCTCAGGCTCAGATGGTAGCTCTATGTAGAGTATTTAGTTAGAGTTAAAGCCCCAATGCTGAAAATAACCTAAAGTGAAAATTCTGTGAAATTCCTGGAACAAAACAGACCATCTTAGTTCAGGCATGTTTCCACAAAGCTGACAGGCTCATTACTCTCTCATAAAGAACCTACCAAAAATAATTCTCGAAGAAGCTTCATGGGTACAATTTATGATTGCTCTGTTACTCACTAGATTAATGATTCTTAACCCTGTGGCCTCATCAGAATCATCATGGGAGCTTTTTATGAAATAAAGACACCTGAGCAGAACTTGGGATCTGCAAAATAACAATCTCTGGTAGGGGGTGATACAAAGCAAGGCTGAAGACCACTATCACAGATGCTTAAAGATAGACTTCCCTTTCGGACTTCCCTGGTGGCGCAGTGGTTAAGAATCCGCCTGCCAATGCAGGGGACACGGGTTCGATCCCTGGTCCGGGAAGATCCCATATGCCACGGAGCAACTAAGCCCGTGTGGCATAACTACTGAGCCTGTGCTCTAGAGCCCACAAGCCACAACTACTGAAGCCCACGCGCCTAGAGCCCGTGCTCCGCAACAAGAGAAGCCACTGCAATGACAAGTCCGCTCACCGCAACCAAGAGTAGCCCCCGCTTGCTGCAACAAGAGAAAAGCCCGCATGCAGCAACGAAGACCCAATGCAGCCAAAAAAAAGGACTTCCCTTACCCCTAGAGGGGAAGGAGCTTTTTCCCATCAACAACAGAAAGCTTACGAAACACACCTTATTGGGTGG